TCTTCCAATAACCTATGTAAGATCTACTGAAACCTCTCAAAGGTAATGAAATAAACAAATCTGGGCATGGCGGAGGCATTAGCTATTTAAAATTTAACCAAACTCTGTGTATCCAAACGAAATACGTTCAAACTTTATCTTCGCCATAGTCATCATAGACGGGAAGTATTCTCGATAATCATTATTAGTCACAGGATTTCATCATGAGCTGACATCGGTTAGAGAACCATTGGAAGACCACCACTGGAGTACTAGCCAGCTGTTTCGTCCTTGCTTGGTATTCTTCATCAGTGTGCACCTACCCCTGGACCTGCTGGTCACACGGCAAAAGAGTCTATTGACCATTAAGCCCCTGGTACCCGATCCATTGGCCAGCCCATGAATTCCAACCTCTGCCAATTCACGATATAGCACTAGTGGCACTAGCCAATTTCATCGATGAGGAATATTTGTCCTTTCACTCAACCTGCTGTCGCTACCAGTGGGGCATAGCAGTACTCCTAGGCTTTCCAATGATTCTCTAACCAATGCCAGCTCATGATGAAATCTCGTAACCAATCAAATCCCTGCAAACCAATATGTGAAATCCATTATACCATTGCGTTTCTTATCCAAAATTGAAGTTAATTCATTCAAATCCTCCACTATCACCTTGATAACTAATCACTGTATGATTACATTACCCAAAGAGTATTATAAAAATTACCCTCCCCCTATCCCTAAAACCCTCTGTTACTTCTTCTATTTTGGTTGACTACTCATTTCTTCATTTTTATGTCAACTTGGTATATGATCGGCTTATTTGAAATGCATCAAAATTCATTGAACAAATGAACTGTTTTAATTCCTGGTATTATAATGACCGCGCTTTTCTACTGGTGCGCTATAATTGCTTAGTTACATAAAACTCTCATTTCTCTGGTGTTTCTGACCACGAAGTTTTGGAAATTATTGCAATCCGTTTACTTTCGAACACCAAACCTGTGGATATAATCTTGTTGACTACTAATACCTATAACTTACTGTTTGGCATTTTGGTGACTTTTTACCACTAACTTATATCAGTAATTGTATGTATTGTTGGATTTATATGTTCAAGTTGGCCCAAGTCAGTGAGTCTATGGTTTTGGTATCATTTTAGTTAACTGTGCTTAACTGTATTGTATGTTGTTGGATTGTATTGTTGTTGTCGCTTGTTGCCCTTTTTGCTATGAATTATTTTCCTTTTGCTGGTGTTGTTCTGATTGTTTTATTTCTTGTACTCCTTGTTTTCTGGTTTTAAGGGGAGCAACCCACAAGGTCGCTTCTCTCTAAACTAAATCTTAATGTAACAATTCCTTTCCCAAGCGTGAGGCTAGCAACCCCACCCTGTAAACAAAGTTAATACAGAAACTTCAGCACGATGAGTCTCCTTGCGCCAAAAGAAAAAGTCTGTGTGGGGACATAGAATGGCCGCACTATGTACAAGATTGGAAAAGTTGCCCAGATCGCAAACGAAATGAAACGAAGATATCAAAACCAGAATCGGAAAAGCAAGACAAGCTTTCATTACTCTTTAGTGTGTGTGGACGTCAACAGCACCCAACATCAAAAATAACATCCGGATTTTCAACTCCAATGTGAAGTCAGTGAGTGCTACTATACGCGTGTATCAGAGACTTGCACTGCGCGTCATAAACTGCATCTCAAACAAACTACAGATCTTCATTAACAGTTGTCCTCTCTCAATACCACTCAAGATCAGATGGCCGGCCAGAAAAGATCAGTAACAAGGTAGGGTCTCTGGCAATGAACGAACAAACACAGAAGGAACCGATTGTGAAACAAATAGACAGGAAGAAATGGAGATGGATTGGCTGGCCATACTCTGTGGAAACAAACCATCAAGTGAGTGACATCACTAGACAAGCCATTACTCGAGTGTAACCCGACGGTATAGGAAGCGGGTGGCGAGTTGGTCGTCAGTTTGAGGGTGGGGTGACTTGGAGTCGGTCATGTGAAGAGGAGATGAAGGCATGTGGACAGACTTAGAGTGGGGTGAAAAAGTTGGCAGAAAATCGAAGGCGATGGAGAGGCGCATCTGAAGCCCTATGTTCCTCTAGGAATTAAAGGATATGATAATAACAATAATTAGAATGAAAAAATGTAGGTTTTGACTTTGTAAGATTAAAGATGCATACTGCCATAGGGTCCTAAATAAACACAAAGCAGCTTTCCAGAGCTCCCTGGCTTTTACTTATTTCCATCAGATCTGTTTCAACATTAATCGCATTATTCACACATATCCTACAATATATAGATATTCTGTTATATGCGCAAAGGTGTTATCTTACCTTCTAGGCTTGTGTTCTGATCCCAGAGTCATACTCACTAGCAAAACTACCTCACTTATTTATGCACATGCTTAGTCGTGTACACGTAAAATGGTGTTCTTATATGAGGTGTGACATAATAATCACTTTTCCTTTGTACACAAATCCCACTGTCTGTGTTTGAAAAGAGGAAGAATAAACACTGATGCAGAATAATATCAGTCCATTCTACTTTTGTTGGTTCTCTTCAGCTGCGTACAATCTATTCAGTATTTTTTATAGCCAGTTATGATTTAATTTTAACATAAACTTTGTTTATCATCACAAATGACAAAGTGGACAGGTTAGTCGGTTATGAAAATATGGAAGTGTAAACATGGATTAAGAAATACTTAAAATAACATGAATAAACAGGAAGTTTGGATAAGAAAGGCAATCGGATAGTCACTATTAAAAGAATCGCCTGTCTATGATGGCCATGGCAGAGACAAGGGGTGGACGTATTGCTTTTGGATACATAGCGTGGGTTTGAGCTTTTGGAAAGACCCTTGACTATGCCTAAATGATTTAATTTTACTCCCCTTGATAGGTTTGTTCGAATGTTGTATATGATTTTGAAGGATTTTTCGAATGGTGCTGAATGTCTTTAATTGACCAGATGTTCTGTCACTGAACTATATACACGTTTTCGATCTTCTTTTACTAGCCAAGCTGGATAGTGTTCACGAGCGCGTTTTTCAATTTGGTTCATGGTACTTTCGATGAACTAAGCTCCTCACGAGCAAGTAAACTGGTATATGGAAGTTGAAGTGGCCCATTGCGACAGCTTGTCTTTTGCGGTCTAGGCTGAACAGTTTCTTGCAGGGGAACTTCAGTCGTAGGTTTACGGTGAAGTATTTTCCCTTAGACATTTGCAGAGGCGTTTACGAAGGATTTCCGCTTCAATGTCACATTTGAATTCTAGGTACAGCAGAAGTATCTTCATCGGGACGGATTGAACTTGTTCGGAAGTCTTCTTTGATTTGAGATTCTTGTCTATGAACCTAGGCAGAAAACCATTTTAAATCAAGGTTCTTCGGAGATTACATAGTTCTCCGTCAATCACTTCCTCGTTGCATATCTTCCAAATCCTCAAACAAAGGGTGTATATAAGGTCCCTTTCTGCTTAGGGGCACGATGCTGTGAGAGTTGATGAATTGTCCATTCCATGAGGGCTGTTTGTATACAGACCTTTTCAGAGAATTGTTGGCGTTTCTTGTCAAATGGACGTCGACGGAGTGGAACATCCCATCGGATTTAGCTTCAAGAGTAAATTTTGCATAAACTCGAAAATTTAAAAAACCACAACCAAAACGGTGGGGTAGAAGGTTCTGAGAGGATAGGAGTTTAAGTGAACGTGGAGACGACAGTGGTGATGGATATATCCGGCCAACAAAAAACATGAATCACATCTAACTGGAGAAGTCTACAGGAAGACTTTTCCATTACATAAGACCTGGCCACTGAGAGTAGAAGAAGAGCGCTCTATTTCCCGTGTAAAGTGGCATAATAAGGTGAGCAAAATTGAAGTTAGGCGTCGAGTTCTAGGTAAACAGGGGAAATCAATCGACGAAGTCGTGAAGTTACAAAGACTGAGATGGTTAGGACATGTGATGCGTATGCCAAGTCATCGCCTCCCTCGACCAGCAATGTTAGCGGATATAGGGTCAGGCTGGAAAAGAGCTTGCGGCGTTCAAACCAAAACATGGCACCAGTCAATGAAATCTACAACAGTTAGTCTAAGCCACGTAGGAAGGTGTAGACTTCCTGGCTGGTCAGGGTCCTCGGGACGGTAAAAACCAATGGTTGGAAACAATTGGTGACATGGCTCAAAGTGGTCGTTCTCAATGGCTGGTTGGCGCAGATGCATCCACTCCTTGTGACTTATGATTTCCAATGAAACTGTTTTGTTCTTTGTTACTACTATTCCTTTGTCTCACAGCTCTGTTTACTGTCTCTATTATGCTTTTCTTGTACTTTCTTCTCTTGCTTCGCGTGCTACATGGAGTGTGGCGACTTGATCTTCCGCACATATGTGCAAAGTTCTATGTCGAAAACAGACATTACATAATTGGTCAGACAGAGTGCTTTCAGTTTCAACCTACACGGATGTCAACGTCATTACCATTCAAGATAAGATTAGGAAAGTCGATACAGGTATTCCTTACTCAAAAACCTGCGTGGACATCTACGAAACTCAGTGTAAGAAACAAGATGTAAGTTTTGAACGCTTTTATCGAGTAAGTCAGTGTTTCTAAATTGTTCAGAGAATTCACGCACTAGTTACCAATGCGTACCTAACAGGTTCCAAAATTTTGACCAGCAGGAAGGGATGAACAACAGCGAACCGACTAAGAACCTGTTACTTAACAAAAGCGCGGAAGGAATTGGAAATAGGTGGGATTAAATATACGCTGAGAAAGCCGCTGGGTGACATCCTATATCATGCTGTCGAGTGGAATGTGAGTCGGAAGAGACTAACTGAGAGTCCTAGTAGTTGTGAATACTGTTTAATAAATCTGACCAATTAAATTTTTCAAAGCAAAACATTGAAATTGGTTGAGATTGCTTTATTTTTGAAATTTATTCTTACATATTGTGTTTTGTAACAACAAAACATATATATCATCAACAAGTTAAGACACTTTTCGATATAGCATGTCATCTGAATGTCGCATTTCTACATGTATATGCTATTCAGGAACAATGAAGGGAACTTTTCTATGAGAATCTCCACGATTCACGTATGTCACTGTATTTCCTTTTTTAATTGTTTCTTTAAAAAAATATAAAGTATATCTTTAAAATTTTAAAAATTCCGCTCTGTTGAATATGAGTGAATTTAAACACCAACGATAACAAAAATTGAAATATTGAACAATTGAACACAATGTAGCTTTTCATTGAAATTGAAACAGTTATCCACAGGTTAGGCAGCATTTAAAACTAGAAAGTAAAACACACCAACACTAACACACACACATACACTCAGTTTGATTCAATCTGTTCAATTGACATGTGATCCATATCGATATGATGTATGTATGCCTTTTTTATCAGCAATATTTTGTTTAGCTTTACCAAAACAAATAGTGGAAGCCATTTTAGCTAGCTGTAAACTTTTTAAACTTGTATTTAAGCATGATTTTTGTATATTTAATGTGATAATCAAGAGAAATTTAGCATCATTCGACATAGCTGGTTTAAGGAGATGCGTTAACTTTGAATCTCTGAATGGTATATGCATAGGCCTTTTCATTGATTCACTTTCAGCTAAGCTTTGAATAACACGGTTGAATGTTAACAGAGAAATATCCATATGTCTAGTATAATAATAAAAAGAAGAAGAAGAAATATAAGAAATAACACTTATTTAATTCAATTTTAGATTTTCCCGTCGATTGATTGGACCAGTCTCAGGTTGACAAGTCTGCGAGCTTCTTCTGAAGGTGCTTCGACGATGTCTGGGCATGTAAGTGAAGAAGTGAATTGGTGAATGGTGACTAGCAGTGGAATCCAGGGCAACGTGCATTTCGTCCTATTAAATAACTAATATGACCCGTTGCACAAGAGGTAGGAAGTGGCTGTCGATGCCCGCTTGGCATAGTGGAGAACGCTTTGGCGTTTCAACCACCAGCGAATAGTAGGGCTTATACAAAAATATAATTTTCGGCTCAGTTCGTTTTATGTTCTTCTTTAAGTAGAACGGGCTGGAGAACAAAGTAGCTGTCGTACACTGCTGTTGGTGTAGTCTTGCAGTAATCGTGATTAGCTTTCCTGTATCATCAACTCGGCGTTGCTAAGCCAATTTAAATGTTATTGTGAAGAATCCTTCTCTATCATCTACCGGGTACCAAATAGATTGCTAAAATCATTGAAGCACCACATTCTCCAAACAACAGAGGCTATTGCAATTCGCCTCGAACAACAAGTGCTCTATGTTCAAAAGAATCAAGTCCAACCCTTACTACTTCTGTGGCTTTCACTAGAGATTGTAAATTCATGAATTTGTATTATTATCTTTCCTAATTTTTCTGATATTCAGCTTATTTTATGTCGATATTATTGAACAGTAATCTATCAATATAATTTATTCGATGTTGTTTCAACAACATTAACGTGGTTAGCAACAATAAATCATTCCCTATAAGTCAAGGTTCAGGCTACAAACGACATCTTCATTGCAAACATAAGGGACAAAGCCGAGACAAAAATCAACACTAGCGAAGAGGTCGGCGTCGAAAAGCACTGACACAACTTGAAAACGGTGTGGAGTCAAACCTGCATGGAAGTGCTAGGCAAAAAGAAGAGACAGGACAAACACTGGCTCACTACGGACACTTGGAAACCAATAGAAGACAGAAGGATGGTGAAACAAAAGATTATCCAGTGCACCGTCGAGCAACAAAAACTGGAGTTGAATGCGAGCTACAATACACTGAACAAAGGAGTAAAGAAGAGTGCCAGGGAAGACAAAAGAAAATATTATGAAGCCATGGGAAGTGAAGCAGAACAAACTACAAGCAAAGGAGACCTCGACACACTCTACCAAACAAGTAGGCACCTATCGGGTAAACGTTCGAAACAGATTAAGCCAGTAAAGGATGACCATGTAAAGTCAATCACCAAAGCAGTGGAGCAGAGTAAACACTGGGCTGAACACTTCAAAAGACTTCCAAACCGACCGCCACCTGCAACGCGCCCAACAATACCAACAACGGAAGCAGAACTACCAGTGAACATTGACCGACCGACGAAATCAGAAGTCCTGAATGCAATCAAGATGCTAAAAGCTGAAAAAGCAGCAGGACCAGATGAAATCCCAACAGAAGCATTGAAAATAGACCAAGGTACAACAGCGGACTTGATGACGCCACTGCTGGAGAAGGTGTGGAAAGAGGGCAAAGTACCCGAGAACTGGAAGAAAGGATACTTATTCAGACTACCAAAGAAAGGAGACTTAGGTCAATGCAAAAACTGGAGTGGAATTATGCTCCTGTCCATCCCAAGCAAAATACTAAGCCGCATCATCCTGGAGAGAATCAAACACGCCAACCATGATGAAAAACTTCGACCGGAACAAGCTGGATTCAGGAGAAGTAAGTCATGCAATGATCAAATCGCCACTCTACGGATCCTCATTGAGCAAAGCTTGGAATGGAAGTCACCTCTCCACCTCACTCAACTTCATCGACTTTGAAAAGGCCTTCGATAGAGCAGCGTCGATCGAGAGGTGATTTGGAAACTACTTCGCTACTACTGTGGGGTCCCATCGACAATTATACATCCCATCCAACAGTTATACGACAATGCTGCGTGCCAAGTAATCCACAACGGGAAACTTACGGAATACTTCGAAGTGAGGACGGGAGTGAGGCAAGACTGGCTGTCTACTATCGCCAATGATCTCCCTGATTGCAGTAGATTGGATAATGCGACAGACAGTGGCGGGCAGTGAGGAAACAGGCACAAAATGGACTCACACAAAAAACGAACTTGGAGGATCTGAACTTCGCCGATGATATGGGTGTCTGATTTCCCACAAACTGGAAGATATTCAAGTGAAAAGCAACCAGCTGGCAGAAGAAGCATCCAGAGAAGATAGGACTTCAGGTGAACATAGACAAAACAGAGGTGATGAAGATTACTGGCCAACACCACCACCAACAACAACAACAGACAACAATCAGAATAAATGGGAGGAACGTGAAAGAAACAACCTCCTTCACCCACCTACCTGCCTACCTGGGAAGCATCTTTTCAAAGTGTGGAGGTCAACAGCACTCATCATCAAAAATAACATCCGGATTTTCAACTCCAATATGAAGTCAGTCAGTGCTACTTGCTATAGGGATCAGAGACTTGCACTGCGCGTCATAAAGTGCATCTCAAGCAAACTACAGATCTTCATTAACAGTTGTCTTCACTCAATACCACTCAAGATCAGATGGCCGGCCAGAAAAGATCAGTAACAAGGTGGGGTCTCTGGCAATGAACGAACAAACACAACAGGAACCGATTGTGAAACAAATAGACAGGAAGAAATGGAGATGGATTGGCTGGCCATACTCTGTGGAAACAAACCATCAAGTGAGTGACATCACTAGACAAGCCATTGCTGGAGTGGAACCCGACGGTATAGGAAGCGGGTGGCGAGTTGGTCGTCAGTTCGAGAGTGGGGTGACTTGGAGTCGGTCATGTGAGGAGGAGATGAAAGCATGTGGGAGACTTGGAGCGGGGAGAAAAAGTTGGCAGAAAACAGAGGGCAATGGAGACGCGCATCTGAAGCCCTATGTTCCTCTAGGAATTAAAGAATATAATGATAATATAATAATAATAATGTCTACATAACTGTAGAGCCTGATGATGAAGAGCAGGTTATCAAAAAAAGGGTATTCTTTTCTCGATATCCATTCTTTTCAAAAACTCTAATGGGATTTTTAATCAGTTCTTGCTTTATTCAAATTTCTAATAATTACACATATTCATGTTTTAATCCATTCTTTGAGTAGTCGGTTTCCAGCAATAATGAATTTTTTTAAGCAAGTAACAACTTAAATCGCTCAATTTCACAAATATGCTTTTTCTTTCTAAACAACTTCCCTATGGATTCTCCCCGCCTTTATTAGTCACACACATTCAGAAATGCTCCTTTTATGACTGACATAAATATAGTTCTGAGAAAAGTCATCTTTGACTAGATGTGTCCGGTTTCTTTCTCTCATATGTTCAGTGATATAATACAGTGATAAAGTAATCAGGTTAGGCATAAGGTTTTGAGTAAAAATAGGGGAAATCACTTGGCGAGTTTGTAAATCCTAACCAACCGATATGGTAAGAACAAGTGCTATGCATGCCATGTCGTCGCCAACAGCAAGAAGCAGTTTTTGGGGTGATTTCCTTGACTGGTCACCTTCATTATCACAAATATTGGTCTTTAATAAGACTATCAGGATAAAGCTGGGCTTATAAAGTGATTCAGACGAGTGGCTTTAACATCACTGCTTTGGTTGTCTCACACAAATTAACTTTAACAAACAATCATTGGTCTGATGTTATTAGGTGGTTAGAGGCATTCGGCTACAGGAAGCCTTGGACACCGCCTAGATTTCGTGCTAGTTGGCACTCACCAGTCAACAAGGCGTATCTGAAACTTCGAAAGAACTCATATCCCTTATGAGGAGATTCGAACCCGCATCATCCAGTGAGTATTGCAATTGGAGACGTTACCACTGAGTTATTCGGGCTCGTGATCACTGACCTCCAGTAGGACTGAAGTGGATACTTTGATTGGACCCTAGTAAGTAACTAGTGTGACATGTCTACTCCTATCTTTAGTGCAGACTGAATCCTATCAGTCAGGTTTTCAATGTGGCCACCATTCTAGGTGGTTCGCCATCACGGCACATATTGATTTGAAGATATCAAATGGAAAGGACTAGACACATCACACTAGTTACTTCCTAGTGTTCGAGCAAAGTATGCACTACAGTCCTACAGTGCGTCGATGGTACAGTGGTTAGGACAATCGCCTACCATGCACATGGTCTGGAGTTCGATCCCAGACCGACGCACACCTATACCTCGCCAAACTAGTAATAAAAAGCCGGTAAAGAGGAAAGATTGGGCCAAATTTATGTGCACCGTGATGGTGAACCATCTAGAATACTGGCCACATGGCAAATCTGACTAATAGAATTCAGCCTGTACCAAAGAAAGGACTAGACACAAAGCACACAAGTTACTAGTGTCCAATCAAAAAATCAATGTTTGTCCTAGTATAGTTGATAGTGTCTTGAGCTAATAATCTTTGATTCGATGAGTTTTAATCCAGGTACGATAAAGTCATTATTTTTGCCTGAACTATTCAAGGGGGATACTTCTATGGAAACCTACTGCATTCGGTACAAGTAACAAGACTAGGGTTTCGTAGCACTAACAACAAGTCAGTCAGTCACTGGCTCTGTTTGACTCAGAGACTTGACACGTCAGCAAAGATATGTCGAACAGACTTCAGACTTTTCTCAACAACTGCCTTCGCTCCATACTGAAGATCACGTGGCCAGAAAGGATCAGCAACAAGAAACTTTACCGAAGACAATGAAAATGGAGACGGCACACTCTGAGAGGACCAGTGAGTGAAATCGCACGCCTGGTAGTCGAACGGAAAGGAAATAGGAAACGGCTAGATGGATGTGAGTTCTGTCTGTCTGTTTTCGACATAGAAATTTGCACATATGTGCGGAAGTTTAAATCGCCACACTCCATGTAGCACACAAAGCAAGAGAAAACAGTAAAAGAAATGCATAATAGAGACAGTAAACAGAGGTGTGAGACAAAGGAATAGTAGTAACAAAGAACAAAACAGTTTTATTGGAAATCATAAGTCACAAGGAGTGGATGCATCTGCGCCAACCAGCCATTGAGAACGACCACTTTGAGCCATGTCACCAATTGTTTCCAACCATTGGTTTTTACCGTCCCGAGGACCCTGACCAGTCAGGAGGTCTACACCTTCCTACGTGGCTTAGACTAACTGTTGTAGATTTCATTAACTGGTGCCATGTTTTGGTTTGACCGCCGCAAGCTCTTTTCCAGCCTGACCTTATATCAGCTAACATTGCCCGTCAGTCGAGGAAGGCGATGACTAGGCTCACGTAACACATGTCCTAACCACCTCAGTATATATAACTTCACAACCTCGTCGATTGATTTCCCCTGCCAACCGAAAACTCGACGCCTAACCTCATCTACGAATGTTCGGCATGCGATTCGCTCCCGCCAAATGCAAGATGATGTTACAGGACAGGACTACTCCGACTCCTAGAATAGAAATAGGAAGTGAAGTGGTAGAGCACGTTGACCGCTTCACTTATTTGGGAAGTGCCATCAGCCCCAATGGGTTGATCTCTGACGAATCTTAGCTCGGATACAGAGGGCTAGTTTTGCATATACTAGTTTACGCGGTCTCTGGCGTAGATGTGATATCTGGCTATCGACCAAAGGGCAAGTGTACTGCTCATCAGTCCGCTCCGTCCTCCTTTATGGCTGTGAGACCTGGCCATTGAGGGTGGAGGACATGAAAAGATTAGCTGTCTTTGATCATAGGTGTCTGCGTTCTATTTCCTGTGTGAAGTGGTATAATAAGGTGAGCAATATGGATGTTAGGATGTGAGTTCGAGAGTGACATGGGAAATATCGTACAAGAAGCAGATAAGAACTTATGGACAATCACGCATCCAGTTACAGAGGATCGCAAAGAACAGAATGTAATGGGAATAATAATAATAATAGCAATACTCCCAAGGAGATTCTACCCTAACACCTAATCAGATAGCTAAACAAAACTTTCCGCAGTGGAAATCCGTTCGTATCATCCGGTTACTGTCTAATATCGATCCTTAAATCGAAGGACATTTTACCTAATCTTATCTGCTCACATATATACGGTTTCGACTGTTTCAGAGGTTCGAGTTACATAAGCTAACAAGTTGGCAGATTAGTCATTCCTGTCATTACAGTCACTTAGGTTAAAAAAGTTTACACATCTACATTATTCTGATGAAAAAATGATTGGCGAAGTACCTGAATGTAACGATTTCTGTTAGTAGCTCTTGGGCATAAGATAATTAATAGTATCTCGGGCTAACCGCACGGGATTCAATGGTTTTAAGTCAGATCCAACAAATATTTGTCTTAAGTCTCAAGAAAGTCTCTTAATCACAAATATGTTCCAGCTACCACAGTTGCAGAGGTATTACCATGGAAAGCTTCACTTACCTGTCTGCCTCATAGATAACATTATGAGTATTGTTATGTTTTCCGATAGGCCTCGAAGTTTCCTTTTTCGAAGTTTTCCTTTTCGCTTCCTCGACACATGTGTCATTCGATGATGACTGATTCTCGGTATGTTTTCCAGGTAAATTTGAAATATTCTCCGGGTTTTCAGCACTCAACTCACCGACATGATGATGCTGTGATTGCTGCTGGTCTTTCTGTTGCTTTCGATAGTTTTGTTGGTATATATCTTCACCTGGGTCGAAACCCGCCAAATCACCGAATATGAGTAAACCATGTGTAGCAGTTCGTAGGCTTTTATTTTGTGTAGTATTCACTTGCATAACTTTAAATGGTAATGCTGTATTGGGACGATATTCTGGTGAACCTTTCGGTGTATTTGCATTCATATTACCAAAATTCTCGGCATACTTTAACTCAGGATCGATTAATGTTTCATCATTACAAGCTTTATTTTCGCCCAGTTGATGTAATTCATTCCCATGATGTGCCAGTAGGCAGGCTCCTCGTACACGTATAATTACAATAAAATGTAGATTGGATAACGCAGCACCGAGTATTTTTGATGAAGCATAACGGCGTATTCTTGCCTTACTAAGAGGAAAAAAGATACAATACAACAATATAGTACCAATAATTTCAAAAGTTTTAAACAAATTTATGAATATAAGCAGCAATTGATTGATGTTAAAGTAAAACTACTATGCGATTTTTAAAATCCAACTGAATACAAAACTTAACTGAAAAATACATCACTTCGACACTCATTGTTATTTTTATTATTATTATCATTCCCTTGGGTTCTGAGTGGAACATAGGGCTTCAACAGCACATCTCTAATTTGCTCCATTTTCTGCTGTCCTCATCATCTGGGTACATGACTGATCATAACTTCTCATCTCCTCCAATATCACTCTCGCACCAACGATCCACTCGTTGCTTTACATTCAGATTACACTCAAATGAAGATCTGCAAAGCGGGTTGATATGTATCCACATATATATATTTATGTGTGTGTGTGCATGTTGGTCTCTCTTTCTGTTTGCTCGGTTAGTCTGTGACCACTTCACTTGTATGGACTTGTCTCCTTTAATAATGTGTATTCTCCTTATATTATATTATATATAATATGAGTGTTGTTGACAGTCCGTTGCTTAGTGACATATATCCATATACGGTTGTTGACATGTCTGCTATATTCGCTATGTATAATTGGATCGACACTCCATTATAATTAGCCATTCATGTTAAGACTGTTTAATGATTTATTCCCACGCTTTGTCTGGAACATTCATATATATTCGCATTCACAATCTGTGTGAACTACTTTACTTTACTTTACTTACTTACCACTTTGGTGTGAGACCATTTATTTTCGTCTCCTTGTGTTTGGACAATAGAAGTATCATCGCAAACCTAGTGGTCTTCTGATTTCCGCCTTCTCGCGTCAGGACTATTAGTTTCTCGACCAGGCCATAACAATAATTCAGCGACGAGTACATAACAGGGTAATGTCATTCGATGGCCTCCTCAGCATTAACCCAGTCTATATTCATTCTCTCCTACACATTTGTTGACCAATCAACTCTCGACTGTTGGTTTTCTTCCAGCCAAAGGTTCTTCCTTCTTGCTGATTCCTTCCAGTCCACCGGCAAGCCATTTGGTCTTCAGTATGGAGCCAGCCACCGAAAGAGGCGGTTGTTGATAAAAGTCTGCAGTAGCCTGTTGGAAATCCTTTTTGTGGCACGCGTGCTAGGTTTCTGACCAGTATAGAAGAACTGACTGACAGACTTGACATTTGTGTTGAAAATCTGAATCTTGTTCCTTATGCTGGCTGAGTTAGTGCCAAAGATTTCCAAACTAGTTTCAGGTTGATGAAGGCGTATCTTGCCTTTTTAATTCTGACTGACTGGCCGGCTGGTTTACCGTTGACATCTTCATCCGTGATGTCCAACTGCCTGTAGTTGAAACTGTGCTTCGTTGTCAGATAAGTGAAGCCAGTAAGTGGCCTCTGTTCAATCTCTCCCGTTGACAGTGGGTGATTGGGTGCTGGTTATTGTTGTTGCAGTTACTGTTGGTTGGTTCGTTTTCTTCATCACTTCCTCTATTTTCACCTGGAGTGCTGTCTTCACTGTCGTCGACTTCTTCAGCCAGTCTGTTGGTTTTTGCCTGTCTGCCTGCAAGTCTTGGTGTTTGTGTGAAATTAAACATAAATCATTCATCAACGAAATACAGATCTTCTAAGGTGTTCTTATGGGTGCAACGTATTCCTTTCTTCTCGCTTCTGACACAGAGGCTTCCGGATATTTAAGCCTACCACAGTTAAGAATGTCAAGGGTGATAATAGGTAGTCTTGTCTTAATCCTGTCTTCACTTCAAAGGATCATCTGACACGTAGCATTGTCTTATAGCCAATTGTTCACTCAGAATGTTGAAGACTTGAAGCACTGCATGCTGTAATATTGAAGTAGTTTACAAAGTAATTCTCGGTCTATGCTTCGACACCATATACTACTAACAGATTCGCATGAGTAGTTGGAACTACTCATGTTCAACCAGTAGTACCCGGTGTGATATCAAGCCGATCACATATTATGATCTGAAATAGTTTTTATTTCCAAAAGTAACTGTGTCGGTGAAATTTTACCTCATCTCAAAATGTGTAAATTGGAAATCAAAATTTAGTTTGCAAATTTTTGAATTTGATTTAACCTAATACCAGTTCACCCAAGTGGCTTGTGATGGCAAAGTCAAACTTTAGCCACCACTAACTACCAATCAGCACGCGACCTCGAATGGTTCAATGAGGTTAATGAACGTAAGTTCAAGGTTGCGTAGCATTTGATTCGTTTCAAATGCGTGCTCTAACGAACTTACGCTTGCAGTTCGAGGAGGATAAGAGTTTGTAGTAGTGCTTAGATTTGGGATTGCTTAGGAAGGAGAGGATTTTTTCTTATGGTGGTGCTATGAGTTTAAAAAGCTTTAGCAGGTCAACTGATGGATATGTCCATCGTTGTGCAATTTGTTTGAGATGAGTCAGTATTAGGGAAAGTAAGCTGATAATCTTAAGATTTCGTAGGAATATTTTTTACTAATTCGCATCTCTCCCTAACCCAAAGTTTGTATATTTGTAACTATTGGGTTTTATAACAGCCTGTGAGAGGCACAGCTGCTGAAACTGAAAATAGCCTGCTGTCAATAGGTGAGTGGTAACAGCAATGCAGAGACATAATATCATGGGAAATAGAGACAATTACCTCGCTGTTAGGCGGAGAAGGAATCATCGTGCACGTGGACGAAACTGTATTACTGAAGAAAAAATACATTAGTGATCGTGAGCGAGCCAACAATGTTTGGGTGATTGATTTATATGACAACTCCCTACGGAAAGGATTTGTGGAGAGAATACCAGACAGAAATTCAACTACTTTAATACCTATTATTACTAGACTTGTGAAACTGGGATCCATAGTACATACTGATGAATGGAAAGGTTATAACTCTCTCTCTCTGATCCTAAGGATCCCATTGCAGTGACACACGCAAATTCTATAGAAGGATTTTAGTGAAGACTGAAAAATAAGATCAGGGATATAAATGGACCTCAAAAAGATCTCATTTATAGCCATTTCAATGAATATATGTACAGAATGTGGTGTGACCTTTCTATTGACAGTCCTATGCTAAACTGGGAAATGTTTCTGTCACATGTTAAAGAAAGATACCATAAGTAACAGTTTTATGCAGCTTTTGTGCTTTTTTCCATAAATATACGTTTTACTTTATCAAAAATCCCTCTTATATATGACTGATCCGTTGACTGGTAGTTAGTGGTGCTTAAAGTTTAACTTCGGCCTTGTGAGAATTCGAATGATCTCAAGTGAACTGAGTTACACTTGTCACATCACTGATGTTTTTAGCCAAAAACAAACGAAATGTTTATCCGATGTTCAGATCACTACATTCTGGCTAGTAAGCACTTATTGTGTGATATGAATGCAGAGGTGCGGTTTCACATCCCGAATAGCTAATGCTCCAGCTATGTACAGATAACGTATTCGAAGTCCCTTTGTACGATATTGAGGGATTCTGTGTAGCACTGTGAAGCATTCATGCAAGCGGGGTGCTCGATCTCCAAACTGGACAGTGTTCCAAAATGCGTTTATGGAATTGACGTTGCGTTATATCGGTCGTACGTATTCGAAAGCGATACATACATTCTCTCGCCCTATCGTGGCCAGAGTAACGTTCTTATCATAATTTTACTTCTTTCTTTTATTATGTAAGTTCACTATTATTATTATTACTATCATTACTATTTATACTATTATTTTATTATCATTATTATTCTCACCATACATATTTTATTATCACTCTATTACTGTTTATTAATAACAACATTGCGTTTTCATACACATTTTATATAAAAACACTTTATCGCCTTTCCAATAGTTCCTGTGCATTCTACACGAGTTTATTGATCAGTTATTATCTCACACTTATTATGTCATTCCAATTAGTCATCCCTTCTCGGTTACACCTTGCATTATGTAATACATTTTTGCGAGGACAGAGTTTACCAGGATCTGATTCGGCTACAGATTTCTTTGTTTAATATAATTACGATTGTACAGCAGTTCATGAAAATGAATTGTCGGAAAGAAACTTTTCTTCGCTATTAGTGCTTTTTCTCTTAATTGTATAGTTATTGTCCAGACATGCATATTCAAAGGCTCTCCGTGTGTGTGAATATTCTCTGCTTCTAATGTGCAAGTCTGTTCAATACAAGTACCTTATGACTCTGCATACTAGAATGGTAATCAAAATTTCTCACAGGCTAAATAATCTCTCAGGGCCACTCACATTATTGATTAGTAGGAAGTTAAAGACAACTGGAAGCTGAGGAACAGTGGACCAACTGTTTAGCTTCATTTGTGCGTCGGTGGCACAGTGGTTAGGGCTCTCGCCGACCATGCACATGGTCCGGGGTTCAAGCCCACGCCGGCGCATACCTGATATCTATGGTCGGCCTGCAAAATTTGGGCTACCGATATCCATGCTGAAAATTCCATACTTGTACCAAAAATACAGTGTGGAATCAAGCTGTAATCAAAAATAAAAAAAAATAAAATAAAAATAAAAAAATTTACAAGTATTTCATAAAAGTGTCTTCTATCTTTCCTCTCAGTTTCCTTCACTTCTTTTTAGATGCTCTGTAGGTTTTACTCAGCTTGTTTCTTCACTGTTCATCTGTGAACTGGTTCATCTTCTCTCGCACCATATTCCTTTCCATTTTTTTGGAATCCAAGCACCTATAGGAAGCCATTCCTTATTCCGCCTCTACCCCTAGTTTCTGCAGGTCGCATTCTTTTGTCGCTTTCAAAGAGGTCCACTGTCCCTTCACAAGCATTTCCTCGGTAATGTTTCTTAATGTCTTTGACTATTCCCTAATGACTACAGTGAAAGTGTCCACTATACGTTCGTCCTTTAATTTGTGAGTATTTAACTTGGATCATGATATATTTTCAGCTAGTATTAAAGCTTTCAACTTAATAATTTGGAGGCTTCCTGCAGTAGATATTGATCTTAAACTAGGCCTGTTCCTCTTTTCTATCTTCAGTCTATCAAGCTACCTATCCAATATCTTCAGGTTAAGAGAAAGTCTATCCAGTGAAACTCATATCGCCTTTTGGATAACCTTGTGCTTGTACAATTTGCCGCAAATCATTAAATCATTTAACTCACTCAAGTCTACGAAGAATTCTCTGTTCTCATTCACTTCACCAACAACCTCTGAACCAATGATGCAGTCTTCTCCTGTGTTTCTCTGACAATCATATTGCCCACCAGAATTTCAATGTCCATTACTATTTCCAGTTGTTTGTAGAAATCATCCTTCTTCTCTTAGTCAACCTTGTTTTTAGGTACTTAGCATTATATAATCGCAACTTTCTTTCCTTTCGAGTTGAATTTCGCTGTCATTATACTGACGGAGATTGGCTTTTTGATACTGTTAGTGACGTCATAATAACCACTTGCTCATCGTGCCCGTTGTTGTTGTTGTTGTTCGGCTGAACAGAGTAGATAACTGACACAGCAGTTAACAACTTGTAGAGTCTACTTCCATTTCGTCTGCTTTCATAGACTCTTAACACTTCCATTCCATATCTTCTCATTTCTTCTGCAATCTTAGCGACCTGGATAGCTTCCAGAATGGCTCGGACTTTTCATGTCCGGTATCACCGGTTCTATCAGATTCTGGTGAAGAACAGATTCATTTTTTTCGGTTCTTTGAGGTATCTTTCGCGGTGAGTTTTTCAGCTCTAACAATCCCTCTACCTCTGGTGTTAGGACTATTTATCAAACTATCTGCGGTAACTCAGTATACTACTTTTATCTGCTTATAAGTAGCACACAGGAATGTAATGTGAGTTTTAAGAGTGTCACATGTTGTGAACCGCTCAAACAGATACGCCGGATTATCGTACGTGTTCGAAACCGCTCGTTCCGATTTCCAAACTTTATGAATCAAATAATTGTGGTCTAAAACAGTCGAAGTTTGTTATTTTCCTTCGTCTTCAAGTACATTAGCCTAGTACAGACATATAAGTATTAATTTAGTATTAATATAGCACATTGGAATAAAGATTATCATCTTAGCTTACTGTATAACTTTTAATATCTCCTCTTCAGAATTCACTTCTTCTTCAATTGCACCACGTAGAATAATTTGCTCTCCATTATCATTCAACTTGATCTTTTCAAAATGATTCGGTTTAGTCGGTTGTTTCGGTTCAGCCAAAAGATCGAAAATATTCTCTTTGTATATCTATCTTGTCATAAAAAAAGCACATACACACATCTTAAAGTTTCCTTTAAAAAACCGGGAGATTTTTCGATTAGACAGTAGTTAGCAACTAGTGTGATGCGTCTAGTCCTGTCTTCGGTGCAGACGGAATTCTATCAGTCAGATTTGCAATGTGGCCAGCATTCCACTAGGTAGCTCACCATCACGGTGCACACTGATTTGATGATATTAGATGGCTGAAGGCAATCGTCCACAGGGAGCCTTGCCTGAATAGGTTTCGTGGTTGCTGGCACTCATCAGTGAACAAGGCATATCTGCAACCTTGAAGGGAACTTATGCCCCTTCTGAGGAGGCGCAAACCTGCGTCACGCAGTGAATACTGCAGTCAGATACCTTACCACTGAGCTATTCGAGTGCCGTGATGACGAGCTATTTAGAATGGTGGCCAAGTTGCAAACCTGACCGATATAATTCAGTCTGTACCAAAGAAAGGACTAGACACACATCACACTAGTTACTAGTGTCCAGTTAAAGTATCCACTACAGTCCTACTGGAGGTCAGTGATCGCGAGGCTGAATAGCTCAGTGGTAACGTTCCTGACTGCAGTATTCACTGCGTGACGTGGTTTTTAATCTCCTCAGAAGGGACATGAGTTCCTTCGAAGTTTCAGATACGTCTTGTTGGCTGGTGAGTGCCAAATAGCACGAAATCTAGGCGGTGTCCAAGGCTTCCTCTGGCCGATCACCTTCAACCGTCTTATACCGTCAAAACTGGAGAATATTAACAGTTACTGAAGAGTTTATAAGTCGTACTGTTCTAAGTGTCTAGAAGTTGATTCTCACTAAATACGCCCAGTGGGAAAATTAACGGGTCTTCATGCTTTGAAGTGTCCCTTTGTTCTGGACTTATTGTCTGCTAATAAACTAGGGGAAGATCATGGTACATCGGCCCTGGAATCAAAGCCCAACCACCTGAGTGGCTGGTAAGCATTCATTCTACTGTTGTAACCTTCAAGCATGTCTCTCAGCTCTTACACTAATCAATATTTGCATCACTCACCTTTCCTTTGAGAAATAAGACATTTTCATAAGATGAAATATACCGCTTGCATAGTGAATACCATTGGCATCCGTGGCTTATCGGTAGAATTCTAGCCACTCCTGCATATGGTTTGGGGTTCGAACCCCCAACCAAAAGCACTTCCAAACCTCACTTAGCTGATAATAAGACTGGGAAAAAGAGGGAAAACTGGACATGAGACTGGCAGTCTCATCCCGTAAAATTAAACACCACTGCTACTGAAACTTTAAAGCTCTAACTTGAAGCCCCCTTGTGTTCTAGTGAGAAAGTAAAGGAAGAAAGTTAAGTGAATAACATGAGCATAGGTAAAGCACATGATAACTAGTCTTTAGACTTAGCTAATGAGATCACAGATGTGAAAACAGTGACCAGCTATCGTCGCATCTCAACTGTAAACACAGAAAGCTAATTCTCTTGACGTATGCATCTTGTAAGCAATTTATAGATTATTTATGCAATCGTATACAATTACCCTATACCTGTCACTTGCCTTAAAGATGTTATCTTCACATGTATAGAAAATATCAGATTCGTTTCCCAAGAAAGAGCATACGAGCAAACTGATGAGCTTCCTGGATATTTCAGTGACTAGGAAGGATAACGGAACAACTAAGTGAGCTTCACTTTGCAAGAAAACATGGAGTGAACAATATCCTATACAGTATAAAACGTTTCCTAGTGAAATGCCTATTTTCGAGGGCCTATGTAATTTGCAAGAACAACACATTGATGGGGATAAGCCATGACGCATACAAAAATTTCAGTTTTACTGTCTGGTATTTATGCTGAAAACTTCATACTATTATCACAGCAGTAACTCATCGAAGAAGACATTGCGAAGTGGTCGCGCTATGTCGTGAATTGGCAGAAGTTAGAATCCAAGGACCATTGGATCAGGTCCCAGTGGCTCAATGGTCTACGAGCTCGCCTTGTAACCAGAAGGTCCTGGGTTCGAATCCCGGTGGGTGCGTACCGCTGAAGAGTCCCAAACTAGGACGAAACAGCTGTCCAGTACTCCCAGGTTTTCCAGTGGTTCTCTAACTGATGTCAGCTCATGATTAAATCCTCCATGCAATCAAATAAAATCCCTACAAAACCAATACTTGAAAAAAAATTTTGACTACATTTTTTTATTTTAATTTGTGGATGGCGACTAGCAGTGGAATCCAGGACAACACGCATTTCATCCTATTTGGGACTCGTCAACCTGGACATATCTGCATTTTCCAAGTGAGTGATGATGTTCCCACCGAGGCTAGAACCCAGTGCCCAGGTACATCCAGAAGACGAGTCACATATAGGACAAATGAGCATTATCCTGGATTCCACTGCTAGTCATCATCGACCAATTAAATTCTAATTACATGCCCAGACATCGCCGAAGCATCTGCACAAGAAGCCGACAGGCATGTCAACCTGAGACTGAGCACTTCGGTTCAATCAATCGACGGGAAAATCTAAAGTTGAATTAAATATATTTTTATGTTTAATAAAATCCGAATAATTCTGCTGAAGAAGCTGTGGTGGTTTACACAGCGAAACGTTCAGAAAACAGATCTTGTTTTGATAATTTTTTTTGTTAAATACTCGTAGATTACTTTAAATAATTTATAATGATGGTTATTAAAGGGGATAGAAGAAATTTTGGTGATTAATTACATGCATTCCAAAATATGTCTACCGAAAAACAATAGACTTCAACCTTCTCCTAATATGAACTGACTACTTGACCTATTTAATAATGATGATTGATCATTAGTATGTCCTTTTGTTTTTTATATAACTGAGTAGTTGTCACGCGCTTTATTTTATATTATTGTGAACCATGCTGGTTGGAAAGCGATCGTAAACAAAACTATGAAATATAAATAACACCATCATCTGATGAAATTTGTCGCCTTAAATGTCCTATTTAAAATCCTAAAATATGGTGTTGGAAACAGCATTCAAAGTTAGGATTATCCAGATTTGAAAGAGGTTACTTCATTCACTTATCTAGCTAGGGAGCATTGTCTCAACTACAGGAAGTCGGAACGGACGAGGATGTCAAATCGAGCGAGAATCGGGTGGGAGGCGAGAAACACATTCATCAACATGAAACCAATCTGAAAATCTTCGTCACTCAGCCAGATCAACAACAAAATTCAGTCGGATTTTCAATACAAACGTCAAGTCAGTCAGTTTTTCTCTAGGGATCAGAAACTTGGCGGGCGGGTCACAAAGAATATTTCCAACAGGCTAACTCAAACCTTTATCAACAACTATCTTCGCACTGTGCTGAAGATCAGATGGCACCAGAAAGGCAAGCGGCGAGTGGGACGTCCAAGGGTGGCATGTAGGAGATCGCGTGAAGTGGAGTTGAAACAATATGGACTAGCACAGATGTAGGTGAAAAGTACAGCAAAAGACAGAACCAAGTGGAGACGTGCAGTTGAAGCCCTATGTTCCACTAGGAACCCAAGGGAACAATAATAATAATAAAGCTGAAGAACTCAATCCAAAAGCATTTTTTCCGCTCTTGATTTGGATCACTTTTTTATGATTGAAACTGGAGTCTACTGATCACCTTATTCTATGCATTACAAGTTTTTCAAGAAAAAACTTGTTCTTATGAATCACATACATTTCGGTACAAAAGAAATACTTTAAAGCGGTATAAATCTTAAATTTGAAGGTTGGCGTTTCGATCCCTAGTGAGATCATTGGTGAATACTGATGAAGAGTCTCAAAACTAGGAGGAAACAGTCGTCCATGACTCCCTGAATTTTCTCGCGCTTTGATGCGCCAGTGTTACAGTGCTCGTCAATCATCCCGTAGGTCTGAGTTCAGCTACTAGCTGACGACCTCTTAAACCCTAACTAGTCGACACTGACTCCAATAAAGAAGCAAGGTCAGGTATGAGGCTTTGGACCTCTGCATCACTTCAGCAACGCTTGATATGAAAACAAGGATCGGGAAGGCAAGACAAGCTTACATAACTCTCAAGTCTGTGAGGTTGTCAAGACCCAGCACTCAGCATAAAAAATTAAGATCCGGAATTTCAACTCCAATGTGAAGTCAGTCAGTGCTACTATACGGATCAGAGACTTGGCACCACGTCACAAAGGCAACTTCAAACAAACTACAGACGTTCATCTAATAGCTAGCTGTCTTCGCTTGATACCACTCAAGATCATACGGTCAGAAATGATCAGCAGCAGGGATCTCTGGGAGGGAACCAACTAGGAACCGATGGTGCAACACACATGCAGGAAGGAATGGATGTGGATTGGCCGTACTCTGAGAAAATCAGCCACCAAGTGACATCACACGCCAGGCAATTCCTTGACCAGAACAGGCTGAATTCAGGAGAAACAAGTTATTCATCGATCAAATCACAGCGTTGCGGTTCAATGATGATTGAACAGAGCTTGGAATGGCAATCAACTCTTTACCTCAACACCTATCTTCGCTAAATACTACTCAAGATCAGATGGCGGGCCAGAAGAGATCACCAGCAGAGATCTCTGAGGGCAAACCAACCCAGCAGGAAGCAATGGAGATGTATCAGCCATGCTCTGAAAAAGCAAACCATCAAGTGGATGACATCACACTCCAGGTCATTGCTCGAGTGGAACCCGACGGAATGGGAAGTGGAGAGTTGGTCGTCAGTGTGAGGGTGACATGGATGAGGAGGTTATGCAAAGAGGAGATGAAAGCATGTGGGCAGACGTGGAACCAGGTGATGAAAACGTTGACGGCGAAACAAACGCAATGGCGATGTATGGCTGAAGCCGTATGTTCCTCTAGGAATTAAAGGAACCAATAATAATAATAACAGTTATAATTAGGATGAAACAAGTTAGCTTAACAAATTCAGATTAAAACTGACTTACTTGTATAACCACCATACTTAGTTGATAAGTCCAAGCAGGTTGACGTTGTTTACACTCTGTAAATAATTGACGAGCAGCTTTCGGTATAATACCAGGTTGACTTTGTGCACCAAGTATTGTATACGTTTTACCTGTACCTGCTTGACCATATGTGACTATAGCTACAGTGTATCTAAAATAGAGTGTTGATAATAAATTCATCGAAAATATTTATTATTTCAAAATATCTCAATGTCTGATATGACCGTTAATACACTTGACAGTTTGCGCTAACAAACTTCCCAGCTAGTCGATTTGCAAGCCTACTATTATAATCACCATTCGCAGTTACAATAACACGATACAATACCACTGAATCCACGACGCAGAAAGACTGATAGTTGACGTGGAGAGCTTTTACTGTCTCGTTACAACGACAGTTGCATTATTATTATAATTATTATATCCTTTAATTCCTAGGAGAACATAGGGCTTCAGATGCGCGTCTCCATCGCCTTCGGTTTTCTGCCAACTGTTTCACCCCGCTCCTAGTCTGTCCACATGCCTTCATCTCCTCTTCACATGACCGACTCCAAGTCACCCCACCCTCGAACTGACGACCAACTCGCCACCCGCTTCCTATACCGTCGGGTTCCACTCGAGCAATGGCTTGTCTAGTGATGTCACTCACTTGATGGTTTGTTTCCTCAGAGTATGGCCAATCCATCTCCATTTCTTCCTGTCTATTTGTTTCACAATCGGTTCCTGCTGTGTTTGTTCGTTCATTGCCAGAGACCCTACCTTGTTACTGATCTTTTCTGGCCGGCCATCTGATCTTTAGTGGTATTGAGTGAAGACAACTGTTAATGAAGATCTGTAGTTTGTTTGAGATGCACTTTATGACGCGGAGTGCAAGTGTCTGATCCGCATAGCAAGTAGCACTGACTGACTTCACATTGGAGTTGAAAATCCGGATGTTATTTTTGATGATGAGTGCTGTTGACCTCCATACTTTGAAAAGATGCTTCCCAGGTAGGTAGGTAGGTGAAGGAGGTTGTTTCTTTCACGTTCCTCCCATTTATTCTGATTGTTGTCTGTTGTTATTGTGGGTGTTGGTATTGGCCAGTAATCTTCATCGTCACCTCTGTTTTCTCTATGTTCACCTGAAGTCCTATCTTCTCTGGATGCTTCTTCTGCCAGCTTGTTGCTTTTCACCTGCATGCATATCTTCCAGTTTGTGGGAAATCAGACACCCATATCATCGGCGAAGTCCAGATCCTCCAAGTTCGTTTTTTGTGTGAGTCCATTTCATGCCTGTTTCCTCATTGCCCGCCACTGTCTGTCGCATTATCCAATCTACTGCGATCAGGGAGATCATTGGCGATAGTAGACAGCCAGCCTTGCATCACTCCCGTCCTCACTTCGAAGCATTCCGTAAGTTTCCCGTTGTGGATTACTTGGCACGCAGCATTGTCGTATAACTGTTCGATGAGATGAATAATTTTCGATGGGACCCCACAGTAGTAGCGAAGTAGTTTCCAAATCACCTCTCGATCGACGTTGCACTATCGAAGGCCTTTTCAAAGTCGATGAAGTTAAGTGAGGTGGAGAGGTGACTTCCATTCCAATCTTTGCTCAATGAGGATCCGTAGAGTGGCGATTTGATCAATACATGACTTACTTCTCCTGAATCCAGCTTGTTCCAGTCGAAGTTTTTCATCATGGTTGGCGTGTTTGATTCTCTCCAGGATGATGCGACTTAGTATTTTGCTTTGGATGGACAGGAGCATAATTCCACACTAGTTTTTACATTGACCTAAGTCCTCTTTTCTTTGGTAGTCTGAATAAGTATCCTTTCTTCCAATCCTCGGGTACTTTGCTCTCTTTCCACACCTTCTCCAGCAGTGGCGTCATCAAGTCCGCTGTTGTCTCTTGGTCTATTTTCAATGCTTCTATTGGGATTTCATCTGGTCCTGCTGCCTTTCCAGCTTTTAGCATCTTGATTGCATTCAGGACTTCTGATTTCGTCGGGGGTGGGGGGTTCGATGTTCACTGGTAGTTCTGCTTCCGTTGTTGGTATTGTTGGGCGCGTTGCAGGTGGCGGTCGGTTTGGAAGTCTTTTGAAGTGTTCAGCTCAGTGTTTACTCTGCTCCACTGTTTTGGTGATTGACTTTCCATGGTCATCCTTGACTGGTTTAATCTGTGTCGAACTTTCACCCGATAGGTTCCTACTTGTTTGGTAGAGTGTGTTGAGGTCTCCTTTGCTTGCAGCTTGTTCTGCTTCACTTCCCATGGGTTCATAATATTTTCTTTTGTCTTCCCTGGCACTCTTCTTCACTCTTTTGTTCAGTGTATTGTAGCTTGCATTCAGCTCCTGTTTTTGTTGGTCGTCAGTGCACTGGATAATCTTTTGCTTCACTGTCCTTCTGTCTTCTATTGGTTTCCAAGTGTCCGTAGTGAGCTACTGTTTGTCCTGTCTCTTCTTTCTGCCTAGAACTTCCATGCAGGTTTGGCTCCACACCGTTTTCAAGTTGTGCCAGTGCTTTTCGGCGCCGACCTCTTCGCTAGTGTTGATATTTGTCTCGGCTTTGTCCCTTATGCTTGCAATGAAGATGTCCTTTGTATCTTGGTCCTTCAGTTGCATACCATCTACATTATCAATGTTCAGAACTGCAATGAAAACCTAATATTCATTATTCAGTGGCAGGTAATTCTAAAGGAAACCGTTGACCTGACTTCCGCATCTATTAACACTCGTCAGATCAGAATCCATGCTGCTGAACACTGTGATTACTGTTACTGCTTTAGCCTCAATCAATCTCCTATAGAACTGCAGTCGTCAATAACAAGAATTGTTGACCATGGAGTTTACAATAACATTTGTTAGTATTCCCCTGATTTTCAAGTAGAATAATATGAATTATGCCCCTTATGCTGAGATTAATGAAGGTCTGTCTTGGTTCTCCAATCCAGATTTGCTTTAACACACTGCAGGCCAAATGATTTTGGCACTCAGTGCTATCAAACCTCGCCTAATCTACTAGTTCACCGGTATACCAGCTAGTCGATGGAACACTAGTGATTCTGTGCCAGAAAACCAACCAACCAACCAAACAGTCACAGAAACTTCTTTACTGAAATTGAAGAGATGTAATGACACAGGTTAATGAAAACCACCAGGAAGCCAATCAGACGACGATAGATCCTCTTTCGATAAAATGAAAAAAAATAGACATGGGGGCATGGAAACAACAATCATCTTGATAATTATTCAGTGTATATGTGATATAGTAATGAGTAATGGGGTTTAGCTTACCCATCTATACATGATGTAACCAACTGACGAACTTCTGTGTAAATAGACTTTTGTGGTGTATTCGGTGGAAAGAGACGATGTACTTTGTAGGCGTTAACATGAGGTCGTTTAGAATATTCTTGTAATGGATATAAATTTGGTATTGGCTTGACTATTAACGTATCACCATTGAAACTAGTGAATGCACTTTCTTCATTTGAAAGATTGATACATCTGGAAGGCAAAAAGAAAGTTAACGATGATAGCACTAACTGAAAAGTGAATAAATATAAAATAATAAGCTTTATTCCAAAACAGTACTTGTGATACAGATAAAGCCATCGCCTCCCTCGACAAGCAATGTTAGCGGATATAGGGTCAGGCTGGAAAAAAGCTAGCGGCGGTCAAACGAAAACTTGGCTTCACCAGTCAATGAAATCCACAACAGTTGGTATAAGCCACGTAGGAAGGTGTAGACTTCCAGGCTGGGGTCCTCGGGACGGTAAAAATCTATGGTTGGAAACAATTGGTGACATGGCTCAAAATCGTTCTCAGTGGCTAGCGCAGATGCATCCACTCCTTGTGACTTATGATCTCCAATGAAACTGTTTTGTTCTTCGTTACTACTATTCCTTTGTCTCACAGCTCTGCTCACTGTTTCTATTATGCTTTTCTTATACTTTCTTCTCTTGCTTCGCGTGCTACACGGAGTGTGGCGACTTGAACTGTCGCACATTTGTGCAAAGTTCTATGTCGAAAACAGACAGACAGACAGACAGATACAGAATCGGATTCTCAGCATTTTACTACAGGATTGCATCCAGTTAGTACATTAACAATAAATAAAATTCTACATAGATTATGAGTAATCTCGGTTAGTTTTGACAACAACTTACTGGCATGTCGGCAAAGCCAAAATTGAACAGCGTGTTTGGAGGTGTTAGAAAAGCAGACGCTAGCATATTTACCGGCGTAAGCGGAAGAAAGAAACAAAGCAGCACATAACAGAGAAAGAGAGAGAGAGAAAAGGAAAAGAAAGAAAGAAAACGTTGTACCTATAAATGATATGAGTTGGAAAGACAAGATCCAGTTGTTCTACTGACTATTTAATAAGTTATAAGTTTCACGCCTAATGCTTTCTTTATCACACAGAACACGAGCTAAGTAAGGTATAGTTGAGTTTTTGTACTTACTAGTGCGAGCATATAGTTTTCTATATAGGCTTCTGGTTTTGCCTAATGAGATACAAGCGGAGAGTTGTGAATGAAGAGGGTGGTGTGGGTTAGATAAAATGAATTTAGCCCATTTCTCACATGAGTCTAAGTGCCTGTTGACCGTAATATTAACAAGCTGGTTAAGTGGCACCCTGTGGCTAACCCTGCTGACAACCTTTAACATCCTGCGTAATAAGGTATAGTCTTTCTTTAGTAGCCCAGGGAACAATAGAGAATAATAGGCAGAATGCGAGAGTTAACGAATCGTAGGAGTAAGGGTTGGGTTATACCAGAATGTCTTAACTTCTTGATGTAGAAGGTAAGACGGAATATTTTCTTAGAAATCATCAAGATATGAGACGACCAGGAAGGATCAACAGATAGAATGACGCCAAGATATTTAATTTCCGACTTGGTTTCTATTTCAGTGCCATCTATGTTGCACACCTCGTGAGTGGTAACCACCAGTTTGTATAGGTCAGATTTATGCCTAAAGGTGAAATTGACTGTTTGTCATTTGGAGGGATTTAAGGTTGGACGGTTTTCCTTGGACCATTGGCTGACTTCTCATAAAAAGCCGTTTAGTTTAGTGCAGTCACTTTGACATTTGACAGGCAAAGGTACAGTTAGGTCATCAGTATATTTGACAAAGTTAATGTCATTTGAAGATGCTAGGTCATGTAGAAAGAAAGAAAAGCGAAGTGGGGAGAGTACAGCACCTTGGGGGACAGCAGCTTCAGTGAACACAGCAGAGGAGGATTTGCCTTTGTATACGGTATACTGTATTCTGTTTGAAAAGTAGGAATGCAACCAGTTAGTGACCCAGGACTCAGTTTTGTCATAGAGAGCTTATAAGGAGATTATTAGATAATCGAAAATACCAATTGAGTCAGAAAGAATATAAAAGACAAATTCAGCATAGAAAATTTTCTTTATCGACGAAATCATCTTATCAGAGGCTGTACAGTCGTATTTATACTTACGAAAAATATATATAGTGGTCTATTGAGAAAGAACTCGGACGGTGCCGAAGAGACTGCTAATTATGAGCGTTGAACTAAAAGGTGATACTGCAGCTGAGATCCTGAAGAATCGCTGCTTATACAGATCACTGAGAAAAGCCTTCTTTGAAGCTGGGCTACGGATCAGTTTCTACAGCCGAAAAATGATCATTCGATGTGTGAAGGATAAACTGCCGCCAATTTGGGCCACCTCAATGTGTGTATATAAATTCACCTGCTCGTGTGGAGCTAGTTATATTGACCGCCCCCACAAAGCCCACACTTTCCAAACGCATCTCTGAACATTAACCGGCAAAAAGACAATGCAAGACAATCACTAGCTCAATTCTCGAGCACTTGGTGAATTCAGGCCACGTGGCTCTACCAGAGTCGTCTTTCAAGATCATTTACAAGGTAAGGCCAAATGGTACAAAGGGCGTCAGGTTTCGGCTTTTGTGTATGGTGGAGACGCTGGTAATTCTTCAATACAACCCCGAACTCTGTACCACAGAAAGAGTTTTTCCAGTCTCTTATTCTACCTTAACCTATTCACCAGTCGTTTCATGTAAAAACTTTGATATTTCTTTCTTTTCTTTTTTTAATTTTACTTTTAGTTTGCTTTTGTTTTAATAATTAATTCATTATTATCACTGCCATCTGCTCCTTTTCTACGTTTTAACACCCTCTTCACACTGGTTAAATTGACACTCAACTATCACCTTTCTTGTCACTCAATAGCAATTTTAACCTTATCAACCTTCCATCTTTGTGGAGTTGAATACCATGAAATTTGCAACCTTTAATTTTCACTTCTACAGCCACTTTCGAGTAATTATATCAATTATGTCACCGTCCCCCTATTACTCAATAATAGACCACTATATATTTTCGGTAAGTATAAAAACGATTACTAGATTGTTTTTTCTGTGTGTATACTTTGAACCGATAAACATTTTTGCCATTTTCCTGCATTGATTCACTTGAAACAGCATCACTCACATGAGAGTAAGTATATTCAGCTGACGACTCACAAATTGGGCGAAATACGCATGCTGCATTCTACTGCTAATCACGACTGAACTCAGAAACTAACAAGTATATGGTTAGACTATCTAAACCAATGCTCAGTTAAATGACTTATTAAATTTATCTTCCTTAGCAATTTTATTTTACGAGCTATAATTGCTTTAATTTGTTCCGAAAGTTATACAATTCGCCCAAGTGGTTAACTATCCAGAGTTCGGGTGATTTGAACTCACTTGGCCCCTTAAACTGAGGTGTAAAGCCTACACAGTCGATTAGCTCGACTTCAAACTATATGTATATAAACAGCGATCTAATCAATTGAAAATATACCTTGGCTTCCGTGTCATGTCTTCTACTATTACATTAGGGGTCTCTGACTGCCGACAAATGGAGAGCATATGCCTTGCAGTTTTTGAAGGAGACATAAGGATCTTCTGGCAGGACTTCAAGGCTGTTGTGAAGTTGAATGGCGTTCAAGATCCATCAGCCAAGAGGCTGTTACTTGAAACGCTGCTGAGAGGTCGTGCGAAGGCAGAATACGATAGTGTGAGGTGGAACACTGGCGAATACGCACCTGGGTCACACAAACTGCTTTTGAAGTGGAAAGCACAATATACGGTCACCGCGAGATGGGGTCATGTATATACCATCAGAAGTGCCAACAAAGAGGAGATGGTAAACGTCAGCGAGATCCGGAACTAGATACACCAAGACAAGCAAACAAAGACGCCAGCACCAAGGAGATAGGACCACCTTTAGTCTAAAGTATACGATGAGGGGACGAGTGTAGTGGTTTGATACAGACATTTCTCTGAACTTAGTGACATTTATGTGATTAGAATTTTGGCATTTACTATGCTTTTAGTCTGTTAACGAAGAGGGTTAAATTATGTAATAAATAAAGTTCAAGGGGTGAAAATACAGGTGAGTTTCTTTTGAAAACTTAATTATTCATACTACCATATATGATCTGCTTAATGCCATGAAAGGTGATAGAAAAATTAAACATATTTGCATAAAACGATAGACTACTGTGGTGTGAGCTGTCTGCTAGCCGAAATTTGTAGACAGTAATTTACGTCAATGTTTACGTTTACCCAAATCTTGGTCATGAGAAAAGAACAAAGACTAACTCAACAACCAATCACAGCAGACTTTGCGTGGACGGATACGATTAGCAGATATATCAATGGACTGTCTAGGAAACGGCCAAAAAGAGAGATGACAGAATAATCTTCAGCAAGAAAATAATCAATCAGAATAGGTTGCTTTTCTGCTAACAATAACGAATAATAGTGTACATAAAAAATCTACAAATATCTGATTTTCTCAATAAACGATCTGTTGCCTAGCCCTTGTCATCTGTCGTTATAATATCAACCAGTGGTGCTTGTCCACCACAGTGAATTGCTCTAAACACCTGACAGCCATTTTACTCAACAGTGGTGTATCCGGTTTGACTCAACTCAGAGAACTAAACCAGTTCAAACCATCTCTGAAGAACCCCTCAAGTGATACTGCGCAGAATGCAAAGCAATGAGTTTGAAATCATTTCGACGGTGACACAAAGGAAACCATCTGAAGAGGAAGTGAAGGATTGTGGACAGTGATGAAGCCACCTGAAAGTGATTACAGAGAAGCTAGCCCAATAAAGACGTGCTGTAGAGACCTTATATATATATATATATATATATATATATATATATATATATATATATATATATAACCATATCAGGACTTGAAACCTAGTGCTTAAATCCCTGTTGCTTTCACCTGTGAAAAGAATAGTCAACTGCCTAGATGACAGCCTTGAAGTATTCTTCGTTGCCATTTGACATGGAACTCGACACTCCGCAGTTTCAGTAGTAACAGCCAAACTTCCCTGTTTTCTAGGCTTACCACCGCTAAGTAAATTAAATGAGATTTAGGAGTGGGCTGTCTGGAATTTAGATCCAATCGCCCGACGTGGCTAGACAGCTAGACACAGATGAACAACTAGCCTACTGATGTTATTTTTCTGAATCACCATCAAAGACGACGCTTAGAATAATGTCTAAAGAGCTCTATGAAAGAAAACCACGGGCTGACAGAGCTAAAAGCGTTGACAAATGATCGTTAAATTATCAAGTATTGGTTTTGTACGGATTTTGTTTATTTGATTGGTTGGAGGATTTCATCATGATCTGACATCAGTTAGAGAACCATTGGAAAACCAGCACTGGATAACTAGAAAACTGTTTCGTCCTGGTTTGAAACTCTTCACCAGCACACCAGGTTGAAGATGAGGACAATTAGTCGTTGAAGAAGATATTTCGAAGTGGTCCCAGTATTTCATGAATTGACAGAAGTTAGAATTCATGGGCTGGTCATTTCATTGAGTCCCAGTCAGTTAATTATCTAAGAGCTAGATCACCTTGTAACTAGAAGGCTTTGGGTTCTAACCCTGATGGTGGGTGTGTACTTCTGAAGAGTTCCAGACTAGGACGAAAGCGCCAGCTGTCCAGTACTCCAGTGGTGGTTTTCTAAAGGTTCTCTAGCCGATGGCACCTCATCATGATGAATTCCTTGAATCGTTAAATTATTTCATTTCATTATATCTCACAAAGGAGAACACAGAGAACTGCCAAGTTTTACCCAGTTCAAAAATAATTAACCCTCTTACCGGACAAAAACACGTAGATTTCCTTTCAGCTCAATCAATTCATTCAGTATAAACCGAGCTTGTATTTCACGTGCTGCATCTTTATGCTGTTTTAATGTAAGTGCATCAATTTTTGCTTGTTTCCGGTTAAGTTCAGCTTTTAAATTTGCAATGATAGCATCTGTATTGTGCTTATCCAAAGTGTTGTCTTTCACCTCAGCTTCCATACGTCCAATGTGTCGAATAATCTGGTTATCTCGCTCTTGTGTTGACAATAATTTCTGACGAGTTTCTTGCAGTTCTGTCTCTAATTGTTTATTTACTGTTTGTAACTTCATATAGAATAGGAACCAAAAATTGAAAAAAAAAATGAGAGAAGCTTTGAAACTTAATCAACAGTTAGCCTGATCAGTTAATCACAAAGTATGTAGGGAAATGTAAAAATTAAAAATAAATAATGATAGTAGTGATAGTGATAATAATAGTAATATTAATAATAACATGCATGTCAAACATACACAGGATAATGACAGTACCAACAATATGGAATATAAATCATCAGTAGTACTTCCATACAAAGAAGCGACCTCGGAAACCACCTTACGGCGAATTCTTAACAATGCAGGCAGAAATAAAAGTGGGTGGCGTTCAGGACACCCGCAAATTCACTTAGAAACAAGCTTTGTCGTCTAAAGGAACAATACAATGGAGGCAATTATAAAAAAACGATTTAGTTTGTAAAGATATTATATGGTTGGAGGCAATCGGCTGCAGGAAGCCGTGCCTCACCTAGATTTCGTACTAATTGGCACTCACCAGCCAGCAAGGCCTATCTGCAACCTTGAGGGAATTCATGTCTCTTCTGAGGAGATTCGAACCCGCATCATCCAGTGAGTGCTTCAGTCAGAGTCGTTACCACTGAGCTATTCAGGCTCGCGATCACTGACCTTCTGTAGGACTGCAGTGGATACTTTGATTGGACACTAGTAACTAGTGTGACGTGTTTAGCCCTTTCTTTAGTGCAAGCTAGGTAGCTCTAGGTAGCTCGCCATCACGATGCACACTGACTTGAGGATATTAGATGGTTGACCGGTTGCCTTCAATAAATCAATAAACAAATTGCAGGAGAATATGCTGAGATGTGCACCGTGATTGCGAGCTACCTAGAATGGTTGCCACATTGCAAACCTGACCGATAGAATTCAGTGTGCAGCAAAGATAGGACTAGATACACAATACACTAGTTACTAGCGTCCAATCAATTTGGTTTATCTAGTACCCAGCCTAAAAAGATTGCCAGGTCAAATACATGGATCAAACTAATTGTAGAACGAGGTCAGCCAGTCATACTAGTGGAGCACAAAAACCTGACATCAAAATCTAGATTAGTTTACCCGAATAAGATAAGACATCTGGGGAATAGTTCAGCTATACTGCTCACTACATGCAGTTACACACAATCAAACATACAATGGGATGGGATAAGATGACAGTTTTAAAATCTAATGTCGCAGGGTGTAGGGAGTGTTTGATAACAGAAGCTAGGTTTATCGAATAAACTAAGGAGAATACGTGTAATAGGAGTGACTCAATACCTGTCCAGTCAGAAATCTGGAAAATTCAACCACCCCAACGAAGACAAATACTAAAGAATAAAGTAAACTATAAAATTCAAGTTTCGAAGTCGTGTGATTATAACTGATATGATTCTGAACAATAAATTTTGTTCAAAACTTCGTCATCCAGTTGTGGAGTCCGAAAATTTTCATTATAGAAAGCGAAAACAGTGAATTTACTGCACATCATAGGTGTTAAATGCGCTCCATTATTACTAATCATCACTGGCAGGTGACAAATCTGTATGTCCACAATTTGGATCTTTGACTGTAACCTTCTCATCTCTTCTCAAGTACCTCTCTGGCTGTTGGCATACCCCTGTATGGAGTGAGCAACTACGTACGTCTTTATTTACGTATTTTTGAAGCAATAATAACTCACCAAATAACTGACTACCTTTTGTCACCGATGATATTCCTAATTGTGGTGGAATGGATTGTGCGTTAGGAGTAAGAAGATATGAATACGCTGCACTCACCGACAAGAAGACTCTAGAAGATATGGATTTCGAAATTGGGTGACTTATATTTAATGTCAAACAAACTAGAGGATTTAAAGGTGAAAACCAACAAATTGGCTAAAGAAGCCGGCGGCAGTGAAGACAGGACTCCAGGTGAACATAGGGAAGACGGAGGTAATAAAGATAACCACGCACCAACAGCAACGACACAACAACAACCAGCACAAATCACCCACAACCAACGGGAAGAGATTTGACAGAGGTTACTTCCTAGTTTCACTTCTCCGGCAACGAAGCACATTTACAACCACAGGCAGTCTGTCTGTCTGTCTGTTTTCGACATAGAACTTTGCACAAATGTGCGGCAGTTAAAGTCGCCACACTTCCTCCATGTAGCACACAAAGCCAACAAGCCAGCCAATCAGAACCGGAAAGGCAGGATACGCCTTCATCAACTTGGAACCAGTTTGAAAATCTTCTGCTCTCACTCAGCCAGCCTGAAGAACAAGACTCGGATTCTATTCAATACCAATGTGAAGTCAGTCAGTCACTTCTTTTATACGGGTCAGAAATTTAGCCAGTGTGTCACGGAAAGGATTTCCAACAGCCAGTTACAAACTTTTATCAACAGCTGCCCTTTCACTGGCTGGTTCCATACTGAAGATGAAATGGCCTGCTGACCAGCTAGAAAGAGTTAATAGCAAGGAAGTCTTCGGTGGGACAAAACAACAGGCGAGAGCAAGGTATTCAACAAATAAGCGGGAAGAAATGGAGGTGGATTGGGCACACGCCACTGTGCAGCCCATCGAATGACATTTTACGCAATGCAGGCTATCACTCAAGTGGAACTCGGATGGGATGAGATGTTTGGGGCTTCGGTGAGACTAACATGAAGAAGATCGTGTTTCAAGGAGGATGACAGATTGTGGGCAATCGTGGAACTAGCCAGCTGAAGAAGACGGCAGAAAATAGAAGAAAGTGGAGATGGGTTGTTGAAGCCCTATGTCTCATTCGGAACACAGGCGAATATGAATAATAACAACATGGCTACGAGTCAAACTAAACTACTTAAATTTAAAAGTAAGATAGAAGAACGACTTACTCTTTCCATATTCATGATTTGTAAAGTCATCATATCATAACGTTGTCGAAGTCTAGCTTGTTCATTTGACAACTCTACATACTGTGTTCTCAAACGAGTATATTGTTCACCTAATCGTTTATTAATTGCAGCTAAACGCTGTATTTCTAAATCACGTCTTGACAATTGAACATTAGATTGTTTTAATGCATTCAATAAATATTCTGCGTGTATTTTAATAATTAAATTAGATGACACAGGAATATCTTCATCGTTTATATCATAGAATTGATTCTTCCGTTGTAAAAAATTTAAATTAGTACTTATAGGCCATGGTTGTAATTGTCCCATTTGTTCATATTCATTCTCTTGACTTTTTTTGATGTTATTTTCTGTAGACATTGAATTCCATTCACTTTTATGATCATCATCATCATCATCGATTCCGCTTAAAGATGCTTCAATATTGGGTTTTGATTCAATTTCTTTAAGTGTAGTAGTTTGTTTAAATGACTGCTTACATTTTTGCCGCGAATTTGAATTAGGCGGGGATTTAAACAGTCTTCGCTTTAATGATTCTTTAGGTGTTTGGATTGTTTGTATTCGCGTTGGTAGTACCAGTGTTGACGACGACGATGTTGATGCGGATGGCTTGTTAGCCTCACTTAAGTGTATACTGACAGTGGAGGAATTTTCATAGCTGTAATTCACACTGTTATGTTGATTAGCTGACGTCTTCTCTTGACTGTCTATCGATTTTGGTTGATTAGCATTCTGGTTTGTTTCAGAGTTTAAATGAGTCGCCTTGTCGTCCTTAGAAGTTTTTAGATATTTAACAAAATTCGCTAATATTTTACTAATTTTTCTACTAATTAGTAATATATTACTTGAAATCGGTGAATCGGATGACATTCCTTTCATCTCACTTCTGGTTATACATTGACGAAGAAGTATATTGTTAATTCATAGGGAAAGATTTCTCACCGTTTATATCACATGTTAAGTGAATTAGTGATTAGATTTAGGATGAGGCGTGTGACTGTCAGATTACAATTTGAAATATTGATTTCTCTCCTCACGTGATTTATAAACCAGTTAGCTAGGCATGCATGGTTTGCAATCAAAGTCTGATGTATTATATATTTGATGTCAATTTATAAGGCTGAACAACTGCGGATAACTATATTTCTTGTGAAAAAATATGGTGGTTGAAGGCAATGGACACAAAGCCTTGCCTCACCTAGATTTCGTGCTTGTTAGCACTCACCAGCCAGCAAGGCTTATCTGCGACCTTGAGGGAACTCATGTCTCTTCTGAGAAAATTCAAACCCACGTCATCCAGTGAGTACTTCAATCAGAGTCGTTACCACTGAGCTATTCGAGCTCGCGATCACTGACTTCCCGTGTTGTTCACCGAAGAATTTCATGAGGTGAATTTATTGTTCCCATTAATTGTCATAGAAACAAACTAACTCTGAGGCCTTCTAATGACTATTGAGGTCTGAAACTTAAAAATGCACTAACCATGCATGTCACTTCGAAAAAAGATGTTGTCCTCCAATCACTGAAGTTAAGCAGCGTTGAACTGTGTTAGTACTTGAATGGGTAACCGGCTGGGAATACCACTTGTTGCCGGTTATTAATGTATCAACAGTTCAGTGGTAGGAAGGTCTCCAAATACACACATGGATCTAGTTCGATTCTCAGACGACTCACTCCCAAACCTCAGCTAGTTTACTGGTCGGTAGTAGGCCTGAAAGGCAGCTGTTGATGAAGGCAGCAGGACCAGACGGCATCCCTCCCGAAGCATTGAGGACGGCCCCAGAGATAACAGCAGATGTTCTCATTCCATTACAGCGAAAAGTTTGAAAAGAAGGTAAGGTTCCTACTGATTGGAAGAAGGGCTACCTGACATGTAGTCACATGATGTCTACTTTGTTTTTGACAGTCTGTTATATTTTTCTATGTGTATATTGATCGATATTCCATTATAACTGACAATATGCTTTGTCTGTCCATTAACAAAATAAACAATGTATGACCTTTTTATCACATGACATTACAACCAACCAGAATGATAAGGTAATCTACCGTCTATCTTATTGGTTCATGTATATTAGTCACTTTCATATATACTCTTGCATTGTACACTTTTACATACACTTGTTCACACCCTTTCGTACACTACGTACCCTTTTACTCACACATTTGTGTGACAGTCAATTTCCTTTGTTGGAAAATACACATACCTTCGTGAACGTGATGGCCTTCTGATTTTTCCCTTTTCGCGTCAGGACAATTAACTACACGTCGAGTACATAACACTACCTCGTCAAGCTGCCACAGAAGGGCGACTTACGCCCGCCTGTGCAAGAACTGGCGTGAAATAATGCTCTAGTCCACGTTAAGTAAAATACTAAATCGCATCATTCTGGAGAGAATAAAAGACGCACTGGATTCAGAACTCCGCCAGTCGGGAACAAGCTGGATTCAGGAAAGGCAAATCATGTGCTGACCAACAGCTGGCTATATGACAATGCCACATGTCAAGTGATCCACAACGGAAAACTCAGCGAGGCGTTCGAAGTGAATACAAGAGTAAGACAAGACTGTTGCCTATTATCACCAATGATATTCTTAATTGTGATGGAATGGATTATGCGTCAGACTGTTCGGGAGTGAGGAGTCAGGAATACGCTGGACGACCGATAAGAGGACTCTCAAAGATCTGAACTTCACAGATGATATACGTCTAATGCCACTCAAACTCGAGGACTTGCAGGCAGGCGAAAACCAAAAGACTGGCTGAAGGGTCTGCGAAAACAGGACTGTAAGTGAACATAGAGAAGACGGAGGTGATAAAGATAACCAAGGTAACAACAACCAGCACCAATCACCATCAACAGAATAGCTTCAACAGAGAGGTTGTCTCCTTCGCTTATCTGGCCAGGAAGCATCCTCTCAACTGCAGGCAGTTGGAATAGACGAAGATGTCAAAGTCAGAATCGGAAAGGCAAGATACGCCTTCATCAACCTGAAACCAGTCTGTTAATCTTCTTCATTCAGCGTAAGGAACAAGCTTGAAATTTTCAACACCAATATAAAGTCAGTTCTTCTATACAGGTCAGGAACTTGACCAGCGTGTCACGAAAAGGATTTCCAACAGCCTGTTGCAGACTTCCATCAACAGCTGCCTTAAATAACTGGCTCCATACTGAAGATCAAACGGCCAGAAGGAATAGGCAACAAGAAATCATGAGAACAAAGTAACGAAGAACCTGTCGCTCAACAAATATGTAGGAGAAAGTGGAGATGGATCAGGCATTCACTGAGGAGGCCGTCGAATGACATCGAACTCCAGGCCATCACTCGAGTAGAATCATAATGGGAAGCGACAAGTGAGTCGTCAGTGAAAGGGTGACATGGAGGAGGTCATGTGAGGAAGTGATGAAAGAGTTTCGTGAATCGTGGACCCAGATGAAGAGGAAGGCAGAAAAAACAGAACAAAGTGGAGATGTGTTGTTGAAGCCCCCTATATTCCACTCGGAACGCAAGGGAATAATAAGAATAAGAATAAAGTAAACCTGAGGAAGACGATAGGTTAGAGATGAAGTTAGAAACCCCACAACCGGGAAAAAAACACTCCTAAAGAAATTTCACGCCTCGAAGTCCTGTGTTCTAATTACTATGCAAAAAATAAAATTTCCTCCCCTAAATCACTGAATTATCGTACAATGAGTTATAAATACGTTAATTAAACCAGCTCTCGACAATAAATGCACATACACTGTTAACTAATTTCAGCGGGAGAAATTTCAGGGAGGTAATTTGGAAACGACTTCAACATGACTTCAGCCTTCATCAACATAACTCGCAACAGGAAACGCGAGAGAACTCTTGAAGTGAAAATTGAATTAATACAAGGCTGCCTACTATCCCCAACGATATTCCTAATTTTTGCAGAAGATTGTGGAGATAGAGAGAGATAGAATCCAGGAATGCATCGCGCTGATGACTCTACAAAATGATTTATGGGTAATGTCACATAAATTCGGGGACTTTACTGGAGAAAACCAACAAGTTGACAAAAGAAGCAGAGTAGAGACAAGACTTCAGTTGGACATAGAGAAAACCGAAGTGATGGAGATAAACATCCAACAAGAAAAACAACAAGTACCAATCGCTACCAACTGGAGGAATTCGAAAGAGGTCACTTCCTTTGCAACGACAGAAGACAAGAGCCAGGCAACAGATCGTTTATTGAGAAAATCAACAGGTATTTATAGTTATTCAAGTGTTGGTTTGTAGGGACTTGATTGGTTTCAGGATTTCATCATAAGCTGGCATTAGTTAGAGAACCATTGGAAAACCTGGAAGTACTGGAGAGCTGTTTCCTCCTTCCTAGTTTGGGACTCTTCAGCAGTACGCATCCCACTGGGATTCGAACCCAGGACCTTCTGGTTACAAGGCGAGTTCGTATACCAATGGGACCCGATCCAATGGTCCATGAGTTCTAACTTCTGCCGATTCATGACATTTTGCAATGTCTTTTTCGATGAGTTGCTGCCTCATCTTCAACCTGCTGTGATGAGGTTATGAAGCTACATCGACTAAGATGGATAGGACACACGTGTTGTGCATACCTAACCATTGCCGCCCTCATTACTTTTGCCTATTCACAAACGGTAAACAAACCTTTACACGAACCAATACGAAATAGGAAGTGGTTTTTTTTATAAAAAAAGGCACTGCTCAATCAGAGTTATTTTTTTTTATACATTTGTCAGTAGATTCAGAATTGACAATAGCAAGGTTTTATCACTAAAAATATTTTGTTTACTTACAAATAATAAAGTAGTTAGTACTTTTACGCTTAAAAAAAAGCACGCATAACCAACTACATATGTATGCAAAATATATATATTCAATTTCCAGTAAAGAATACAGTTTTAAAAACTGGTGCACTAGTCCAACTGGAGCCAACAGGCTGACCATTAACTACAAGAAGATCTGGAAGTGGAATACGTATAAGGCGAATGTGGATATCAGCAGTACTATTTGATGATGAAAGATGAGAAGGCGGTAGTGAAGTGGAATCAAATTCTTTCAAATTATCACTTTCAATGGTGGTGTCAGTGTCTTTGTTAAGATTTGCCAGTTTGCTGATTATATCCTCAGATAGATATTTACTATCCAACTTTGATAAAGCAGTTATACATGAATGCAGGATAAGGCCTTCAATGAATATCTCTTCAACAAACGGATTTGGTATAGCGATGGTATCTTTACGAACTGGTCCTTTACCCTGTTTAAAGGAAAAGAGGAAAATATGGTAAGATAATAACAATAGAATATTACATGGAAGTCAATATATTATTACTATTACTACTTATTCCTTGAGTTTTCAGTGCATCATAAGACTTTGAAAGCATATCATGGTTCTTTGGTGTGTCCACTTCCACAACTTTCTACTAATACTCTTTTTTAAGACTGTGTATATATGACAGATCTAACAAAGATGTCAGTGGTATGCAGTAGCATCTTATTACAACCGAAGGTAGTATCCAGTTATCGACCAAAGGAGGTGTGCACTGGACAGCAGTAGTTCATACCGCCCTCCTTTATGGTTGTGAGACAAGGACATTGAAAGCGGAAGAGGCAAAAAGGCCGACTAGCTGTCATTGATCACAGATGTCTGCGTTCTCTCTTCCATATGAGGTGGTATAATAGGCAGAGCAATAATTAAGGTTAGGGGTAGAATGCTAGGTACGGAGGGAAAATCGATCGACGAGGTTGTGAAGCTAGATCGATTGAGATGGATAGGACACATGTTGGGCATACCTAGCCATTGCCGTCCACATCGAGAAATGTCAGCTAACATAGAATCAGGTTTGGAAAAGAGTAAGGCGTGGCTAAACAAAAACATGTAATCAGTCAATGAAAAACTTAGACATTTGACTTGACCCATGCTAACTGACTGATCGGTTTCAACGTAGAAAACCGCACAGATGTGCAGCACTTCGAGTTGCCACAGTCCCTCCATGTAGCACACAAATCAAGAGAACAGAGTAAACAGAAACTCAAAAGAAAAGGCGGCCAATAAACAGAAATACTAGGCAAAAAGAATAGTAATATGAGAGAAAAATATAGTTTTATTGGGTTATTATACGTCAAAAGGAATGGATGCATATCCACCAGCCACTGTCAACGATTTTCAGCCATATCATCAATTGTCTCCAGACGCCATTGATTCTTACCATCCCCGACGAACCCAACTAGCGAAAGCCAGTCTACACCTCCTTGCATAACTGGCTGGCTTAAACTAACTGTCGTGGATTTCATCATTGACCGATGAAGCCATGTTTTGGTTTGATGACCACTAGCTATCCTATGTCAGTCAGTTAACATTGCCCGTCGTCGAGGAAGGCGATCGACGGCAAGGCAAACATAACACATGTCCTGTTCATCTCAATCGATGTGACTTCAAAGCCTCGTCTATTGATTGACTCATTCAGGTCGTTGAGATGCTAAGGACTAATTACTGGAAACTATTGGTGGTAGGTGATATGGCTCAAAATAGTTCTCAGTGTTACAGATACATTTAGCCAATCAACCATCAGGTTTTTTCTACGTCACTATTCTTTCTCTCTCACACACACTCATTTCTGTTTTAATTGTGCTTCTTTTGAATCTATTTTGTTTGACTTTATGTGGTATATAGAGTGTGACAAATTGAACTAATACACACCGTTAATAACTGAATGACGTTTCCAGCACACTTTCTTACGAATAAGTTTACGCATAAGCAACAACAACAGACAGCACACAACAATCAGAATAAGTGGGGAAATCTGCAAGAAGCAACCTCCTTCACCTACCGACCGACCTGGGAAGCATCGTTTCAAATACAGGCGGACAGAATGGATGAGGATATCAAAGCAGCGAGGATCGGGAAAGCAAGGCGAGCTTTCATTACTCTCAAGTCTGTGTTGAGGTCAACACCCAGCACTCAGAATGAAAAATAAGATCCAGATTTTCAAATCCAATGTGAAGTCACTCACCGCGTCATGAACAGACCTTCATCAACAGCTGTCTTCGCAGGTGGCCAGAAAAGACCAGTAACAAGGATCTCTGGCAATGAACGAACCAACCCAGCAGGAACAAATTGTGCAACAAATATACAGGAAGAAATGGAGATGGATTGGTCATACTCTGAGAAAACAAACTATCACATGCGTGACATCACACATCAGTTCATTGCTTGAGTGGAGCCCGACCGAACGGGAAGCGGGGAGTCGGTCGTTATTGAGAAGAGGGGGAACAAGAATGAAACAGCTGTTCAATACTTCCTGGTTTTTCAATAGTTCTCTAACTGTAGTGAGAGTTTGTAACCAATCTTGAAGTACCTACAGTATTTCCACTAAGTGTTAATGATGAATGTCAACATTAGCGTGCATCCTTATAAATCATACTGTGGTGAGAGCATTCTGCTAGCCGAAATTGGTAGACAGCAATTTACGTCAATGTTTACGTGCCAAATCATGGTCATGAGAAAAAAGACAAGAACAAAGACGAAGTCAACGAACAATCACAGCACACTTTGCCTAGGTGGATACGACTCGCAGACATAGGGCTTAACTATACAAGAAACGGTTGCAAACAGTATAAACTAACATTCAGCAAGAAAACAACCAATCAGAAGACGCCGTTTCTCTGCTAATAATAACGAATAATAATGTACATGGAAATCAGTTGATTTTCTCAATAGACTATCTGTTGCCTGGCTTTTGTCTTCTGTCGTTACACATATATTACAAGTGTAATGCAAGAAAGCTTTTTCTCTGAAGAACTAACCTTTCCAATATTGTACACTCGAATAGTGAAGGGCATACCATAAGCGTCAACAAGAAGAAAATTTTTTGCTAAATCTGTATCAGCAGGCAATTCAGCATAAACACGTCCAACACACACGGTATTCTTGTTTACACCTATCTATAGATACAATTCATAACAATAACAATAATAATATTCTATAGTTGGTTTATAAGGAATAATTTTGTTTTAACGAGTTGATCACGCATTGATATCAGTTGGAGAACCATTGAAAACCACCTGGGAGTACTGGACAGCTGCTGTTTCATCCTAATTTTTTGGAAATCATCGGCAGTACGCACCCACCCCACGTGGGGTTCGAACCCAGGACCTCCCGGTTGCAAGTGAAGATAGCTCGTATACCATTCAGCCACTGAGACCCGATTCATTGATCAGCCAGCGGATGAATTCTAACTTCTATCAATTCGTGATTTAGCATGACCCCAACCAATATCGTCGGTGGGACAGTTTTTTGTCCATCCAGTCAGGTATGAGGATCGATGTCTCACCAGTGACATTGGTTGGGGTCACGCTAAATCACAAATTGATAGAAGTTAGAATTCATCCGCTGGCTGATCAATGAATCGGGTCTCAGTGGCTGAATGGTATACGAGCTAGCTTCACTTGCAACCGGGAGGTCCTGGGTTCAAACCCCTTATGGGGTGGGTGCGTACTGACGATGATTTCCAAAAAATTAGGATGAAACAACAGCTGTCCAGTACTCCCAGGTGGTTTTCAATGGTTCTCCAACTGGTATCAATCCGTGATCAACTCGTAATAATAAATAAATATAATAATAAAAACAGTAATGATAGAATAAATAGCTTACTATCAAGAAAGAACACTGAATTCAGGAAACAAATTGTTTCAGAGTATTAGGGTGTCCAGTGTTGTACTAGGCACATATTGAAGACCATGACGTTTTTGATAGCTGGAATGCTGGCCAACCAGATAGCTGTTTCGCTAGCTAGTTGAGGGCCGTGCTCATCAGACGTGTATCCGGTATAAACTCAAACGAAATAAATTCTGGCTGGTTACTTTAGTGTCCAGAATCTCTCATCTCCCCCCCCCAACATCTTCTCTATATCAGCCTTGCACCAACGACTCACACGTCGCTTCCCATACAGATCTCACTCGAGCGATGACCTGCATTGCGCGTGATGTCATCCGACGGCCTCCTCAACGTACGCCTGATCCATTCATATCAATTCTCTTCTGCATAGTTGTTGAAAAATCGGTGCTCGCCTGCCTGTTGGTTTGTTCCCAGCCATAATTTCTTGCTGCTAATTGTTTCTGGCCAGTTGGCCATTTAATCTTCAGTAAGGAGTCAGCCAGTAAAGGTGGCAGCTGCCAATAAAAGTCTGCGGTAACTTGTTGGAACACTCTGGCCAAGTTTCTCACCCATATAGAAGAACTGATTAACTTCGCATTGATGTTGAAAATCTGAATGTTGTTCTTCATACTGGCTGAGTGAGAGCAGATTTCCAAACTGGTTTCAGCTTGATGAAGATATGCTATCTTGCCTTTCCGATTCTGGCTGGATGGCTTCGATATTTACATCCGTGCCGCCTGATTGTGGTTGAAATGATGCTTCCTATCCAGCTAAGAGAAAGCAGGAAGTGACCTGTTTCAAATCTCTCCAGTTGATAGTGACTGGTGCTGGTTGTTGTTGTTGTTGTTGTTGTGGCTGTTCGTTGGTTTGTCGGTTGGTCATCTTCATCACCTCCGTCTTTTCTATGTTCACCTGGATAAGTTCTGTCTCCGCCACCTGCCAGCCTCTTCTACCAGTTTGTTGGTTTTCGACACAAAGTCTTCGGATTTGTGTGACATCCTGTTCTCCGCAATCGTCTTTAGCTAGCTCCACAATTTCCAGTGAACTCTTACCTCCTCCTCTCTTAATACAACACTCTTCAAACCACCTCTCCCGATCAGGTTCCATTCAACGGCTTACCCAGTGTGTGTCCGATCCAGTTCAATTCTCTCCGGTGTACTTCTTAGGCGATAGATTATTAGTTCATCGTTAGCGTTCCTTGTTGCTAGGCTGGCTATTCGACTTACAGTATCAAGCCAACGAAGCCAGATGTTTTAATAAAAATCTGTGGTAGCCTGTTGGAAACACTTTTTTCCAGATGCTTACATCTAGTCTTTATGCTGGTTGAGTGGAGCAGATTTCAGTTTACTGAATGAATGTCTGCATTGCTTTTCCTATCCTAACTACTTTTTGACACTCTCATCTATGCTGCCTGTAGTTAAAACGACTCTGTCTAAATAAGTGGGAAAGGTGGCCTCCTATAGATTGCTTCTTGTCATTCAATTCAATTCTAGATTTTCCCATCGATTGATTGATTGAACCGAAGTGCTCCTCGGTCTCAGGTTGACATGTCGGCAGTTCCTTGAGCAGACGCTTCGACGATGTATGGGCATATAATTAGAATTCAACTGGTGGATGGTGACTAGCAGTGGAATCCAGGATGCGCATTTCGTGGCCCAAGTGGTCTAGTGGATAAGGCGCCTTGGCGTTTGAAACTATGAGCATTGGGTTCGAGCCTCGGGGAGGAACATCGTCACTCACTAGAGAATCCAGGTACATCCAGTGACGAGTCCCAAATAGGACGAAATGCGCGTTGTCCTGGATTCCAGTGTTAGTCACCATCCACCAATTAAGTTTCTTATTATTGCTGGTCAGTAGGTACCTTCTTCATTTCTGCCTTCTCACTTATTCGTCTTCGCTGGCTATCTCTTTTGTCAAGTTGTTGGCTTTCATTTGTAGATCTTTGACTTTGTGTGACATTAGACACAAATTATCCGCAAAGTTCAGATATTTTAAAGTCTTCTGTTGTCGGTCCAACATTTTCTATCTTCTTTGTTCTCTATGCAACCACACACACAGTGTGCCACATTATGTAGTCCATCAGAATTTCGAATACTGTCAGTGACAATGAAGGCGTAGACTTAGTTTACTCCCAGTAACAGCATGTCAATCTCTAGACATCATCAACGTGTTCATACACAACGAGGTGATAGGTGTCAATAGAGAGATCGAGAGTTTACAACGCACTATAATAAATCCACAGAAAATATAAATTAACTTGAAAAATACATAATATGCATTTGAATAATATTAATAATAACAACAATAATCAAATCACCTGTAAATCTTTGAACAGACCAACGTTTATCTGACTGGTGTCAATTACAGAAGTTAACAGCCGAAGTTCACTAGAATTAGTCAAAGTATTACACGAACTGTTAGCATGTTTCGCAGATTTTAATCGCTTTTTCTTCTTGTTGTTGCTACTGGTTTTGTCACTGGCTTTCTGTTTCATATCCGCCACCGACTTGTCATCCTCCTTGCCATCATGTTGGTCTACCACACTGTTAATCTGCGGACAACAGGGTCCCAATAAACGATTCAATGCAGTTGTATCTTTGATATCCAAGGTCAACTTATTATTATTATTATTATTATTATTTATTAATTTATCATCACCATAATTTGATGATGATTGGTTAATAGTTTGATTGTCGCCATTATTATTAGTTGACCAATCAGAATTCTTCTTATTGTTTACAGTTAATAGCTTAGTAAGCGGATTCAAGGGAACAATGAATTCATCGATTTCTTGTTGTTGTTGTTGTTGTTGTCGTTGGTCCGACGATTTCATATCCATAGAACAACTATCAGTGCAGGAATGAATTTCAGACAACTGTTGCATGAACGTCTTCCATTCTAGAATAAATTTAATAATACGTTTAATACAATTTTGTGGTGCGGGCCAGTCTGGATCCAGACAAACAGCCTGAAGCCAACATGTCAGTGTTTTGCCAAACATATCCTAGATAAATGAAGGGGAATGAAGAAGTTGGATTTATTTTTATTAAGAAATAGAGAATACTTACAAATTTGTACATACATTCAATTATTATTATTATTACTACTATTACTATTATTATTGAAATACAAACTTGATACCTTATGAGAACCAAGAGATGTGTCACACAGAACTGCATTATAGTTTCCGCGACGACTGGGATTCTTACTGCCCTAATGCCTAAGATCGAAAAAGATGTGGTGGTCTTAAAGGGTCAATCTCCCCCCCCCCTGAGTCTTTGACTTGAGGTTTAATTCACTGGGCAACATTCTGGCAACCAAAATAGGTTCATACGCGCCATTTGATCGTTATCGTATTCTGGAGCCCACATAGAATACAAATAGGTTTGAAATCACGGTTTTCCAGGACCCCTAATGACTGGACCAGCATGCATGTCCACCAGTCAGGTTGCAAGCACCATATGTTAGCTTTCGCCCTTTCACTTTTATGTGAGAAATACCCTGATTTTCAATAGTTTTCTTAGTGAAATCGATTTGTGGTCACTCGTGAAATCAGGTTATTACTATTACTATTATTATCAATATTAAGTATTATTCTAAGTAGGTCAGTTAAGTATGGGTTATTGATAATAGGACATAACAAATATAAGGGTAGAATTTAGGCATAGTAATAGTGAGCGTCGGTGGCACAGTGGTTAGGACTCTCGCCGACTATGCACATGGTCCGAGGTTTGATCCACTGCCAACGCACTCCTGATATCTATGGTAGGCCTGTAAAATTCAGGCTACCGATATCACAAGCTGAAAATTCCATAATTGTACCAAAAATACAGTGTGGAATTAGGCTGTAATCAAAAAAATTGGATGACCCTCCAAGGACAATTTGCAGGCTGACTGGCTGGTTGAATTCAAAGTAGAAACTTTGCACATGTCTGCAGCACTTCGAGTTGCCACTGTCCCTCAATGTAGCACACAAATCAAGAGAACAGAGTAAACAGAAACTCAAAAGAAAAGGCGGCCAATAAACAGAAATACTAGGCAAAAAGAATAGTAATATGAGAGAAAAATATAGTTCTATTGGGTTATTACACGTCAAAAGGAATGGATGCATATGCACCAGCCACTGTCAACGATTTTCAGCCATATCACCAATTGTCTCCAGACGCCATTGGTTCTTAACATCCCCGACGAACCCAACTAGCCAAAGCCAGTCTACACCTCCTTGCATAACTGGCTGGTTTAAACTAACTGTTGTGGATTTCATCATTGACTGATGAAGCCATGTTCTGGACTGATCACCACTAGCACACTCTTTTCCAACCTGATTCATCTTATGTCAGTCAGTTAACATTTCCCGTCGTCGAGGAAGGCGATAACTAGGATAGGCACGCACAACACATGTGCTAACCATCTGAATCGGTGTAACTTCACAGAGGACAATTTAATACCCATAATCATTTAACCTCACATTGATATGATTACGCTGAATAACCTGTACTCGGAATGCCATCCATAAATAGAAGGAAGGTTATAACCAATTGTATAGATGAATATAGCTTTGGACAATGAATTGAAGTTGACAGAAGAAGTAGTGAAGAGAGGACTTCAAAAGAACATAGAATAAAGATATAGACGATAAAGATATCCACCGACCAACACAAACAACAAGCACTAATCACTATTCAACGAGGGATATCTGTAGGAGGCCATCTGTTTTATTTACCCCTGAAGAGAATCATTTCAACTACAGGCGTCAAAGCCTGCGACGATCACATAATAATAAAAATGACAATAATCTACTTTATTCCAAAAACAGTACTTATAATACAGAATGGAATTCTCTGCATTTGTCATAATATTGCATCTGATTTAGTCAAAATATAAACAAAATTAACCACAGGAATTTGTCCACGTCTACGATATAAAGTCAAAAATATTCAAAGTACGAATTCAGAATATTAAATATAATAATGATAATAATAATAATACTGAGTTTGTTTCAAAAAGTATTGGCGATTCAGTTTGAAAATTTTAACATGTTATAGATTATTAAATCTAATGTTTTTAAGCAATCCAGGAAATAATAAGGGTGAACAGTAAAGAAGAATAGGTAAGATGCACGAGTTGATTAACTGTAATAGGAGGAGAGGTTGAGTTATGCCTTAAGAAGTCAGACGAAATATTCTTTTAGAAATCACTAAGACATACGAAGACCAGGATAGGTCAGAAGAAATAATTCATTAATCCATCATTCATCATTTAAGTTGCTTTTACATCGGAAACTGAAATTAACAGTATGACATTTGAAAGGAGTTAGTTTAAGGCCATTAGACGAAGAACTGCACTGAAGATTAGATGACAGGCTAGAAAGGATTAGCAACAAAGAAGTTTGTCAGACCTATTGCTGAACAAATATGCAGAAGGCATTAGAGATGGATGAATCCGACGAAATCTGAGGAGACTTTCGACTGAAATCGCGCACCAACCAGGCAAACCGTCAAGTGGAACCTGAATGAGAATCAACGAGTACGGCATTGTGTCGAGGGTGATATGTGTAGGCGGTTGTGTGAAGACAACGGGTGATAAAAGCATATGGTCAGCTGTGTATTCAGGGTAATTTGAGAGCAGGCACACGCGTGCATATATCAAAAAAAAACTGTAAAATTTATAGAAACTATTTTCCAAGTTACCCGATAATGCCAAGCTAAACCTCGATTATAATGAAAACTTGGTTCTAAGGCGGTTGAACGATCTTTAACCGCTTGTGAATACGCTGCCAGACATCTATTCATAATAACTTGACATGAAGACGGTGATGATGTTGTTGTTGAAGTCTTTGTTACTGTTGATCCACTCATAGCTTTATTATTACAACTGATGTTATTATCAGTTTGTGATAGCGCTTGTTTATTTGATGATGACTGCAGCTGAGGCGTTGTCATGGAACCGAAATTTTTGAAAAACATAGTTAATAATGCATTGCCAAGTACAGACCATGCAAAACCATTTGTCGGTTGTTGACTAACCGCTGAATGTGCTAGTTCTACAGATTGACTGAAAACAGAAGAAGAGTCTGTAGTCAATTCAACCTGTTTTGCTGGTGTTGTTCTTGCATTGTTAATAGTAACAGGACGACTGGGAGGAGCAGTAGGAGGAGGTAGTTGACGTAATACCATTGATAACTGGCAAAGAGCTTCTATGTGTTTAGCCTGTAAATAACAGAAATGTTAAAGCAAGACAGATAATAAAAATGTGAAGACATTAACTGTGTGTGTGGATTTTGAAAGATAGCAACTCTAAGCGGCTCCTGACTGTATCTTTGCCTGTCAAATGTCAAAGTGACTGCACTAAACTAAACGGCTTTCTATCAGAAGTCAGCCAATGGTCCAAGGAAAACGGTGCAACCTTAAATCCCTCCAAATGACAAACAGTCAATTTCACCTTTAGGCATAAATCTGACCTAAACAAACTGGTGGTTACCACTCACGAGGTGTGCAACATAGATGGCACTGAAATAGAAACCAAGTCGGAAATTAAATATCTTGGCGTCATTCTATCTGTTGATCCTTCCTGGTCGTCTCATATCTTGGTGATTTCTAAGAAAATATTCCGTCTTACCTTCTACATCAAGAAGCTAAGACATTCTGGTATAACCCAACCCTTACTCCTACGATTCGTTAACTCTCGCATTCTGCTTATTATTCTCTATTGTTCCCTGGGCTACTGAAGAAAGACTACACCTCATTACGCAGGATGTTAAAGGTTGTCAGAAGGGTTAGCCACAGGGTGCCACTTAACCAGCTTGTTAATATTCTGGTCGACAGGCACTTGGTCTCATGTGAGAAATGGGTTAAATTCATTTTATCTAACTTACACCACCCTCTTCATTCACAACTCTCCGCTTGTATCTCATTAGGCAAAACCAGAAGCCTATACAGAAAACTATATGCTCGCACTAGTAAGTACAAAAACTCAACTATACCTTACTTAGCTCGTGTTCTGTGTGATAAAGAAAGCATTAGGCGTGAAACCTATAACTTATTAAATAGTCAGTAGAACAACTGGATCTTGTCTTTCCAACTCATATCATTTATAGTTACAACGTTTTCTTTCTTTCTTTGCCTTTTTTCTCTCTCTTTTTCTCTGTTATGTGCTGCTTTGTTTCTTTCTTCCGCTTACGCCGGTAAATATGCTAGCGTCTGCTTTTCTAACACCTTCAAACACTCTGTTCAATTTTGGCTTTGTTACCGACAAGCCAATATGTTGTTGTCAAAACTAACCAAGATTAGCCATAATCTATGTAGAATTTTATTTATTGTTAATGTATTAACTGGATGCAATCCTGTAGTAAAATGCTGAGAATTCCATTCTGTATCACAAGTACTGTTTTGGAATAAAGCAAATTATTATTATTATAATCAAACAAAGCATAGAATGTCAGTCAAACCTCAGTCTACCTCACACTTCATCAGTGTTGACCAAGAAGCAATTCGGAAACGACTTCAATACTACGGCGTTTAGTGCCCAAATCTTTGTCAACCTCATTCAACAGAGAATTTATAATACCCTGTGTCAAGTGGTCAATAAAAACGCAGAACTCCACGAAGCGTTCGAAGTGAATACATGGGTAAGATATGACTGACTGTCCGCTGTCATCGCTGATATTCCCAATTTTTGTAGTGGACTGGAGGATGCGAAAGACTTCAGAATAAGAAGATATGGATTTCGCGTGTGGATGATTTATATCTAATGTTACACAAACTCGAAGACCTACAAGCGAAAACCAAAAACTGACTGAAGAAGCAGGAGGCAGCGAAGAAAGGACTCCATGTGGACACAGAGAAAATAACCAACCAATAAGAACAAAACAGCACCAACCACTATCAACGGAATAAATTTGAAATAGGCCACTTCCTTCACCTATCTGCACAAAACAGTTTCAACTACAGCCAGTTGACATGCATGAAGATGTCAAAACCAGTCTACGCTAGAAATTCAAAGAAGACCTTCATCACTCTGGAGTTAGTTTGGAAATCTTCTGCTCTCACTCAGTCTAAACAGCAATAATATGGATTTTCAACAGCAATATGAAGTCACCTCTTCTATATGGTGGATCAAAAACTTGGCCGGCGTGTCACGATTTTGATCAACAGTCCTCCCGTTTTTCAGCTCTATGTTGAAGATCAAATGGCCAGTCGGCCAGAAAGGATTAGCAAAATGGGGAAATAAACACCGCCGGTATGCAAACCTGAAACCCTATTTCCCACTACGAACAGCAGGGGATGAAAAAAAGGGTGTTATGCAGTTTGACAAGACAACAAATGATCTCTTAAGTATATCATACATTGTGTAGATTAATTTTGATAAGAAATGTGAACAAAAGTAATAAACCTACATCAATTTTTAACGCTTGACGAAAATGACTGGCAGCCTGTACAGGATCACCTTGTCGCCAACATGAATCGCCTAATTCACACCAAGCATCTGTATGCTGAGGATTGAATTTCAACGCTTTAGTCAGCCATTGAATTGCTTGACAGGTTAAATCATCTTTCTCTTCAGTATCATGAAGAATTCCTGCATACAAGTCTGAGTCAATTGCATTAAAGGCCTAAATTTAAATGTAAAATACACGAAACATTAATAAAAAAAAGAATGTAAAAAAGTAAAGGTTGTACGTATGAAATTTGATCACGAACAGGCTTCAGTTAGAGGGCCATTGAAAACCACCAAGGAGTACTGGAGAGTCGTTTCGTACTTGTTTGAGACTCTTCAGCAATACACACCGTTTTTCTCCAACCCAAGATCATACCTAGGACCCGCAAGTTATGAAGTGAGTCCGTCCACTACCCTTTGAATTATAACATTCAACAATTTGCGATATATAACCACCACTGACAGCCAACGTCATCGATGAGTATTTACTCCTACGACCGATTGATTTCATGTAAACCAATGGTCACGAGTTCTCACTAGATTCCCAAACTGGAACAGAGCATATATGAATACAATTCAGATAGCAAATACAAGTTTCAGATATGATGGAGAAGATTTGTAGCTCAAGTGGTGGATGATTTTGATGTGGTTGTGTTCTTTGAGCCGGATAGTTTATTTGCGAAGCTTTCATTGGCCTACTAGGCAACATCTTCGGTGCATACTTCCATTTGAAGACAATATCATCTACAAAATAAATTGTAACAACTGCGAAAACACTGCAGTGACCAAACTGGACAATGTCCCCGTCGTCTTCACGTCCATGAACATACACTAGCCGTCAAAAGACCTGGCATCCGCTCCCTCACTCATATCGCCTCACTGCATACAGATAACCACAGACATCAATTCGACTAGGACAACCAGTGTTCAAATATTAGACAGAGAAAACACCAAGAATGCCAGAAGGAATTTTCAGAAGACTGTCTGGTATTTCAGTGAATCGTCAATCAATAGACACATCAATATACACAAAATTAACCAATCGATAGGAAGGATATTTCACACACAAAGGGTCAAACTTCACATCAAGGAAACAATCAATTCCAACACAAGTAGCGTACAGGGTGTGAAAGCACACAAAAGCAACCAAAGACGACGTTGTTCAAGGTCATACACCAGGAGAGATGACTAATGGGGAGCTCGTGGAGAAATTTCAAAACTCAATTCAACTCAAATTGAAGTATGCGCTGAAGATGTTGCCTAGTAGGAGGCAATGAAAGCTTCTCAAATAAACCATCCAGCTCAAAGAACACAACCACATCAAAAAAAAAGCAAATACAAGTTACACTTCCATAGTATCAAGCGGCCAAACCTCATCACCATAGGTGAGCTAATATATTTCACTGGAAGACTGAATACTAGGAAGCTGTCGAGTTCAGGAATACCTCCAGTATTATGGCCTAAAATTCATCCTGTCACACTGTCCACCATAATCAAAAATTTGGAAGGCGCATAGCAATGCGTAGACAAGGGTGACAACAGATCCTCGGTATACCTCTGCACTAGAGTAGAAGACTTTGACCCTTTTGCAGTGAAGCAAAGATGGTCTACATATGAAAGATATGGTTGCACGCCTACTTGTCTAAAAACTGAGGCAGCAATACACTTAGAAGTGGAACATGCACTTCCTATCGATACTTCTCCAATGATACTTCTGTAACTGTAAGAGAACTTCAAAGGAAAGATACAATGACCAAGGGTACAAAGTTTTTGGAGCTGATGGTGAATTACTGTAAGTTGTGCGGGAATTGGACAGTGATCACACAGTGAAGATGATGACAAACATCGTCATAGAATGTCTTCTTTCCTAGTTACTTACTAGTCACGAGAACATGACGACGAGGCTGAAACAATTTTCAGAGTTCCTAACAACATGTTTTAGGTTAGAAGTCACGTGCATTTTATGTATTTTGAAATAACTGACTGAGTGAATGGATTCAACATAGTACTCCGCATACGCGGCATGTGCGGCAGTTCGAATTGCCACAACGCCTCTATGTAGCATACAAAGCAAGAGAAGACAGTAAAGAGATATCCTTCAAAAGACAGATAATAAACAGAAGTGTGAAGCAAAAAGAATAGTAATATGCAAGAATAATAGAATTTTACAGTGTGGTGAGAGCAGGCTGCTAGCCTTTTGGTAGACATTAATTTACGTCAATATCTAGGTCACTAATATCGGCCATGAGAAAATATGAACAAGACTGATTCAACAACCAATCACAGCAGACTTAACGTGGGCAAATAAGATTCGCAAATATATGGCTTAACTTTCCGAGAAACCAGAAACAACCAATCAGAAGACTGTGTTTGTCTGATTGAATAAGCTATAATAGTGTACATGAAATATATATATAAATACGTGCTGATTTCCGTAATAAAACGATCTGTTGCCGGCCCTTGTCTTCTGTTGTTACAATAGGATATGATAAATCATAAAGAGTGAACACATCTGCGACAGCCATTGTCTCCAACCCTCAGTGGTTTTTACTATCCGGAGGACCCCAACCCGTCAGTCAGGAAGTCTACACCTCCCTACGTGACTGGCTGGCTGGCTTAAGCTAACTGTTATGGATTTCATTGACTGATGAAGCCATTTTTTTCATTTGGCCACCATCAGAGCTCTTTTCCAATATGATCCTATGTCAACTAATATTGCCCATCGAGGAAGGCCATGACTAGGAAGGTATGCGTAACACATGCCCTAACCATATCCACAACCTCCTCGATTGATTTTCCCTCCTTACCTAGCACCAGACGCCTAGCCTCAAAATTCCTCACCCTATTATACGACCACCTAACGTGGTTGGACTTGCTTTTTCTGCACACACACACACACACACACACAGAAAGCATTGGATTTTTCCAAGCGAATCGCCATAGCTTTTACTGTTTCGTACTCGAGAACATCTATCAGTATGATTAAATAAAGGTATAGTGAAAAACATCAACAGTGCGATATAAGACCATCTGGTCCAAACCAGCCACGAAGCTAGCATTGAAGACTTCCTCTCTATCATCTATCGGGTACCAAAAAAATTGCCAAAAACGACCAGGTACCGCCTACTCCAAACAGTAAAGGCTATTAAGATTCACCCAAAACAATCGGTCCTCTGTGTGCAGAAGAAACAAGTCCAATCAACCACTACTACTGCCCTGGCCAGTCTTCTGTGGAGACTATTATTATTATTATTATTCATGAAAAAGTCCCATTCGAACGTTAACAGACAGAAGACCAGTAGTTCAGCGAACAGTCTGTTTTTGGCGAATTCATTTTCATAGCTGTACAATCGCAAATATATATATGATTGTTTTGTATGTGTGTGTACATTAAATTTGTCAAACGAAAATACAATTAGTAAGTTCAGATGAATTGGATGTTGATAAGAGGATAGTAATAAAAGTGATGAGTTTTCACAAACGATTGTTAAAGAAGAGTTACGTAATAACGAGAATAGTTTGATGAAAGAGCTGTGCTCAGGGTGTACATGGAAACAAAATAACATACAGAATTACTCAAGTTTTAAGTAGTTAAAAAAATAAGCATACAAACAAAAGTTAAGTTAAATCAACAAAGTTGTCACCATGAGAGTAGAAGTGGTTGAATAATTTTCTTTTGTATGCATAGTTCTGGTTATTCCAATTGAATGGTTAGGGCTTCTGCAATGCAAAGAAGAGGGAAATGTATTGTCTTTGGCAAGTTGTTCTTCACTTTGTAGATTATTTTGAAGGAAGAAGTGGTTGTTGAGATGGAATAACCAGTGTTGACGAGATGTTCCATTATTGTACACCTTATACGACCACTGTTTCCTTTCTGTAACCACATTGGATAGTGTTCTCTTTGATCCTTTTTGACAGTATGCGCGTCGAACGACCGATGTGCCTGGCTCCACAGCAACAACTGAACTGATATATACACGTAGAAGTGGTCAAGTGCGGGATCTTGTCCTTTGGGCTTCTGCAGATCACCGGGCGACTGGAGAATACTACTCTTTTAAAGAAGTGGAAATTCACCTCTAAGGACATCACTGAGTAGGTCACCTTTAAAGTTGAGGTTCATATAAAGTATCATTTTTCGGCACGGATAGCGTCTCTTGCTTTTGGACTTTCTGTTTGATGTTTTTGTCTACGAATCTTGATAGATAACCGTTTTGTATGAAGATTTCTTTCAAGAAGTGTAGTTCTTCTTTCAGGGTATCAGAGCTGCAGATACGTCGAACGCGAGTGGCAAAAGATCTAATTAGGTTTCTTTTTCGACTGATTGGTACCCAGCTGTTGAAGCTTGTCAGTTGGCCGTTTTCATGTGGATATCCTAAGGATGGACCTTCTTAAAGTTCCGTGAACTCTCCTTGTATGTTCAACATCAAGAAAAGGGATTTTAGATTCGTTTTCAATTTCAAGAGTAAACTTTCAGGCTGGGTGGCATTTGTTGAATATTTGTAGTAACTGATTGTATTATTATCTTTCCGAATTTGCTTAGTCTGATATTCAGTGTAGTACATTCTTATATTGATGCTATCGAACTGCAATCCATTATCATTATCATTATTATTATTAGAAAATACCCATAAATTGATAAACAACATATATGAAGACATCAAATTCACAAGAGAAGAAGAATAAGATAACAAAATCCCATTTTTAGGTGTCTTAATCAAGAGAACCAATACAGGAGATTTAGAAACACAAGTATATAGAAAATCAATGCACACAGATCAAATACTCAACCACACTAGCAATAATCCAATGACTCACAAAAGAAACTGTGACGAAAAAGTTTAAAATCCAAGTCAATAAAGACGAGTTCGCCTTACAACCAGAAGGTCCTGGGTTCGAACCCCGGTGGATGCGTACTGATGAGGAGTCCCAAAGTAGGACGAAACAGCTGTCCAGTATTCCCAGCTTTTCCAATGGTTCTCTAAATGATGTCAGCTCATGATGAAATCCTCCATACAATCAACAGAAAATCATTAATACATATGTAAAGATGGTTACCGGGAAACGCAATTATATCACTCATGAAAAATTTAAATCATTTCACTTTATGCTAAACATTGCATTGAAGATATCGTCCAGAAGGACGACGAAACCTCCGCAACTAAACCAACCAGCTCAGAAAACACTATTAATCGCAAATCATCCACCTCAGCTACAAATCTTCACTATTATTATTATTATTATTATTATTATTATTATTATTATTAGTATTATTGACTCGATGTTATTTAAACAACATTAATGTTGTAAATGTAGAACCAGATCAAGGAGTGGGTTATCGAAAGGGTGACTATTCTTTGTTCAGTAACCATTCTTTAACAACACACAAAAAACAAATAATTTAATGGGCATTTTGTTTTAATTATTTACAAAGAAAACGGATGAACTCACTTTACCATATTGATAACAAAACTCTGCTTTTTGTAAAGCTGATACTGATGTATGCATGAATATTGATTCATGAGCTTTTAGCATAGATATTGTCTGTTCAAATTTCAATTGGACTAATTCACTTTTCCTACTCATTAATTCACATGATTCACTGATCATTGAACAGATTGTATCACTTTGCATCCATGATTCAAACATTGAATCATTTAACACACCATATTTATCAGCCCATTCATTTAAATATTTAGTTTTAAATTCATATAAATTATGAACAGAAGTTTTAATCTGGTTTAAAATATCTTCATTATTGCAGGCATGATGATTTTGTTGAATCTGTTGTTGTTGTTGGTGGTGGTGGTGTTGGTGTTGTTCTTCCTGCTCTTGATGTACTTCTTGAAGTTGTATCATCTAAAAGTTTGAAAAATCAAACAAAAATATAATTTTTGTTCAAATTTTCAAGACTTTATTATTATGTTAGGAATTGATTTGTTTTTCAAGTTTGGCCACGGATTGATAGCAGTTAGAGAACCACCTGTCTGTTCTGTGCCGATTTCAGGCTCATCGACAGTGTCCACCCACCGGGGTTCGAACCCACAACCTTCTGGTTACAAGTCAGGCGAATACACCATTCAATCACTGGAACATGATCCAACGGCCAGCTCTTGAATTCTGACTTCTACTAATTCGTGATTTCAACATGACCACTATCCAGTGTCCCCGGAATGTATTTATTCTCACTCGCGACCGTATGGACACCATTGGTCACAACATCTCACCACAACTCCAGACAACTTCGTCTAGTAACCAGTCCGTAGCAAGCATCAACTTGCTTTGCAATCGGAAGCTCCTTTGAAGGAACCCCAGTGGTTGCGTACTGATGACTAATCCTAAACTAGGACGAAACGGCTTCCCATATATACCACTTAATAGCCGCCTTTCTCGGAATTATTAACTTTATGTATATACATGGATTGTCCTACCCTTGCACTGAAATTGAAGCTTTGACCAAAAGCGTCTGCATGGTGCCCAACGTCAATGTTAGCTCGGCAAATCAACTACATCTAGTCAATTGGCACGCAGCATTGTCGTATAATTCATTAGCCTAGTGTAAATTTACACACTATATCACTCCACAGCATAATATTATATACTACTGATTGATTGAGATGAGTAGTTATGTATCACTTACATCAACATACACACAACATATCATTCAATGTGTTGCGAATTATGACACCATCCCATTGTTCAGGTTGAAGTAAGGGAAGTGTATCTTGAAAATGCGGAATTTTCCACAACTCTAATAATTCATCAATTTACACACTATATGAAAGCCAATCGGTGTAGCAGTAGATTACCCACCAACCACGCCACATGTGGTTCGGGGATTCGATTCCCGACCGACGATGCACTCCTCTTTAACCCAGCTAAGCCAGTAATAAGACTGGTAAAGAGGAGAAGGTTGGGGGGCATGAGGTGACTAGCAACCCCATCCCATAAAAATAAATACCAGTGGTGAAGAAACTTCAAAGCTCCACCTTAGAGCCGTCGCTATGTTCCACTGGAAAGTAAATGAAAGCTACTACTCATCAGCTACATAAACAAGACAGTGCATTAAAATAATGAGAGACTATGTGACTTGCTAGTCAAACTGTTGGGTTATCAAGTCGTCGTTAGGTAAAATACTATGTGTAATCCATTAACTAAAAGTCGCCTGTTAAGTCTAATAGAGCCCTAGTTCACAGCAGTCAAATGTCAATGAGTAGATCATACATTCTGCTTGATCTAAAGGCGTTTCAGGTGCAAGGCATTGTGATTTAAAGGGTTAAAACATGTGCGGAGAGGTACTCAAATTATGTGTTTCAGCAGAACTTAGGATTAGTTTCAATGTAGACTTCGTTTACGGACCAATTTCATCCGGAGAGATCATTAAAAGTAACTGTCCAGCACTCCCCGGCTCGCAACCATTCCCTAACTGATATTGGTTTATAGGGAATTCAACATTTAATGACAATGTGTGAACACACAGAGATTCTACGCCAGCTTGAGACAAGAGATGGTTATCCGCAAACTTAGTTCTACAGGCAATTCAAGTCTTTAGATGTTGACAAGGACTCCAACATCTACACGAGCAGTACTTCTTGATTAATATCAGTGTAATAATTTCTTTTTATTTCAAAAGTTCTATATGCAGCATAAAGCTCCAAGACTCAGAGTTTCAGTAGTAGTTGTGCGGGGCTTTTTGCGGCAGAGTTACTACTAGCCTCATGTTAGTTCAACCTAGAAACCTAGTAGTCTAGGCGACCGCTATAAACGCGTGGGTAGACTTCAGTCTTCCTCTCGGATTGTTGTCACGTGTGGCTACGCGTTCATAGCCTGTACCAGATAAGTCCTATTTACAGACTTCATGCCATGGCGGGAGTATTCCTCACAAAAGTGAAACGGCGAATACAAACATCTGGTGCTTGCACAACCAGATTGGTGATAGATATGCAGTTCTACCAAGGAGAACTAGAAAACACTTATTCCAAATTTATCATATACATGAGCTGGAGAGTCAGCAAAGATTGGGTAAAGCATGCACCTCTTTTTGTCACCGGAAACCATGAGCAAGTAGCTTCTGAAGCTACTCCACTGCCTTATGAATAAAACTTCAAATCAAAGGCACCGAGAATAGTCCCTAAAGACAACCACTTAATGCGGTCTGGATTACCCGGCAGTAGGTATCCCAGCACCTTGCACAAACTACGAGATTTTGTCTGGCACATCTCTTGGTGCCTATAATAAAAGACTAGACGAAGATAAAGAATACGCTGGTCAGGAATCGAAGTCAGACCTTTCAACATTTCCACCACTGAACCACTGCCGGCACATTAAACTCTACATAACGAGTTGTTCCACATGAATACTACTTTTAATTTAACAGCCCATCTGGAAAAGCACAACTCTCCATCAAAACAATCCCTGTTTTGCATACAAAGCAGACAACAACAAAAACAACAAAAATAGAGAACCATGGAGAAGGGAAGAAGTGAAGAGTACTCAAATATAGACAATTTATTAGTAAAATATGTGTGTTTTGTTTTTCTGTACTAAAATACCTTCATCTTTTTATGATTTACCAAAGTGTTTAATATGCTCAGCTGTTTGACTAGTCCACAACTGGAAAATCTCTTTACGTTTCTCTACAAGGCTGGTAAACTCTTTTTCAATATGATAAAAGTGTAAACCACTTTGACCTGTAGTAGAAATGCCTTCATCAGCGATAGAGTTAGACGTTGCTGTTATTGTAGTTTTAAGATATTCTTCACAGAGAAATGCAGTTTCCAGCGAATTACGCAGTGTATTCATAGCTGATCGAATAACAATCTCTGCATTATCAAGTTTCTGAGTTAATATTGACCATTGAGATCTAACTTCTAAGAGGAGTTCACCAATTTCTTCTTCATTATTATTATTAGCAGAATCAATATCCTTATAGGCTGATTGTATTTGACTATATTCTACAGCAAGATGTTCCATATTAATTAAAAGTGTTTGAAATTCTTTAAGTAATTGATTTATAAAACTAATTGTACAATCTAATTGTAATTGTAAAGCGAATAATAATGGAAAGTCAATATTTCGATGAATTGGCGGCTTAGTTGTCGTCTCTGTAGAAGAAATATGATATAATTTTATGGGATAAGACATAGAATACCATGTTACTGCTGCTGTGACACTACCAGTGAAAGCTGAATACCTCCGCCAAGAACACTTCCGATGAAACATTGAACAAAACATTTGTTTAAAATATCTGTAGAACATGATTTAAAGAAACTAAAAGAAAAAATGTGCAAGAAAAGACTGTATGTAACAAACAACACATAACACATGTGTTAAAACTCTTAAAAAGTTATAGATATTACCAATTTATTCGACTAGCTAAATGTAGTGATATTACTGCATAAAAGCCTAAGCGACTACACTTCACATGTTAATATCAACTCGTAATCCAACTAGTCTGATGATGGATCAATCAAAATTTATACTTCATGTTATCTATGGTGGGGGAAAAACAAAACAAGATTAGAATTTTTTAGCACTAACGTCAAATTAGTCAGTTATTTTATATGGTTCAGGGAATTGGATCCCTTAGGATCAGGAAAAACTTACCCAAGAGATTGAATTTTTTCACTCTCAAGTTCGCAATGTGGCCATCATTCAAAGTGGCTTGCCATTATGGCGCACTTTGAATTGTTGATATGGTTAGATAGTTGGATGCAGACAGCAGGAAGCCTTGGACCTAGGTCAATGATGAGCCAGAACAGCTCAGTATTAACATCTCTAACTGCAGTACTCACTGGGTGATGCGGGTTCGAATCTCAGAAGGGATATGATTTCCTCCAAGGTGGCACATACGCCTTGTTGACAAGTGCCAACTACCGCCAAGGCTTCCTGTTGATTGCCTCCAACTAACTAATATCAATCAACAGTCTACTGAGCGTACTTTTCTTCAAATTTGAGACCACTAAAAAACCAAGTAGTTCCGCAGGTGAACCATTTTACTTTATCACACGCTTCAGCAGTATGAAACAGGCTTGTTTCATCAGACAAGTGAACCAAGACTTAAAACAAAATATACATCACACCTTATCATGTGAAATCTCTGCTTAAGACAGTTTTATGAGATGAAAATACTGAAATATTCCCGAAAGTGAAATATTTGATTAGATTGGGATCCATCGAACGAACTGACTGGACAAAAAGAAACCACGTCATATGCGGAAGATCTTTATTAATTTACGATCTTATTTCCTAATTCTTAAAGTCAATTAAAATGAAAACAAAAGAAAACCACAAAAAGTTCCCAACCAGTGATGTGTGACCTGTAGCTAACTCGAATGAAATTTCACAGATGTTTAAAACCAACAGTTTGAAAGCCTTACTAACAGAAATGTGTTTACACGACAACATTTAAGTTTCAGACAATTTCAATAACATTCCCTTGACTGCTCTCTCCTGCCATACACTTTTTAACCTAATTTAGCAACGTTTCCTCTACATGAGCTGATGGGTTCTTTATGAAATGGGACATGGGAAAAGGTCTTTAGATTAATCCATCTGTATAATGAAGGAAACAGTGAACCAAAATATAGAATTAAACACTGAGCACCAGTTACTTTTCATTCTCAAGAGTTACTTTGTACGGATTTGATTTCTTGCAAGTTTCACCACAGGTTGATATCACTTAAAGAACCGCTTGAAACCAACCAGAGAGTATCTGAAAGCTGTCTGTTTCTTCCTAGTTCGGAAGTCATCGTCAGTACGCACCCACCTACTGGGGTTCAAACCCACGACCTTACGGTTGCAAGCTCACAGACCATTGAGCCACTGGATCTGTTTCGATGGCCCGTGAATTCTAACTTCTACAAATTTGTGTTTTAACACGACCACCAGCCAATGTCCCTGGAATGTATTTGTACTTACTCCCGACCTGATGGACACCATTGGTAACAACTCACCACAACTCCAGACAACTTCGTCTAGTAACTAGTCAGTATTAGGCACCAGCTTGCCTTGTAGCCGGAAGCTCCTTTGAAGGAACCCCAGTGGTTGCTGCTGCTGCTGTCTAATCCCAAACTAGGACGAAACAGATTCCCAGTACCCCTTGGTTTTCATGCGTTCTTTAACTCATATTTGGCATTTAATAGCCACCCTTCTAAAACTTATTAACTCTACGTATATGTATGGATTTTCCTACCTTTGCAATGACACAGAAGCTTTGACCGGAAGTGTCTGCATGACGCCCGAGGTCAACATGCATGTGAACGCATGTGTTCGAGGATATTAACGACAAACGAGGTGGTCAAAAATTAAGCTATCAGAAAAGATGAGCTCACATTATTTGCTTTAATTCATAAAAGCCAGAGATTATTTTGAAGTCGAAAATTCGAGATGTGATGCGCGGAGACACTAAAGCACACGAGAGACGCCAAATGTAATGACATATTCAAATATGGCGCAGGTTGGTAACTAGAACGAGCACTTCAATATTCAGTTATACAAACCTTGATTCACAGAAATGGAAACTAAGAGATTTATGAGAGCCATAAAGTATAAATGTGATATTATTTTCGGTGAAATTCGGTCGAGCAACCCTTATAACTTCTTTGACCAGCACCCCTTGAATAAAATTCAGATACAGATTTATAGGTTGAGGATAGGGTTGGAACCTATGTTAATCCATTTCTAGTGGATATCTGTGGTGGTGCAAACCCTTCTTGAACGAATAAGTTGCAGATACCACTTCTTCTGGGGGTCGATTCCAAGAGTTTATGACTCGATGTGAGAACCAGTACTCAACAGCCATATGATTTCTTCTTGGCTTTTGAACTCTCCTGTCATATCCTCTAAGGTGTTCCGACCTGGTGGGAAGGAAAAGAGAGAATAGGTCAGATCCCTACTCATTATTTAAAATTTTAAACATTGTGATTAAATCTCCTCTCTGCCTACGGTATGACAGGTAGAAGAGATTTAAACTGTCTAGTCTTTTCTCGTATGATAAGTTAGTCATGCCGTGAACCACACGTTTTGCCTTCCTTTGAACTCCTTCTAGAATGTGTGAGTCTCCTTTTAGACAAGGACTGGTGGCCTGGATGTAGTTTTTTAGTCTTTACCTCACCAGAGATGTGTATAAGGAGGTGAACAGGTCTCTGGTGATTCTTGTAAAGGCTCTGCGAATTGCCCATAAGGACCTGAAACTACGCACAGCCACCGCGCGACAGTGTGCTGTAGTCTTTAAGTCGTGGTTAACTATGACACATAGGTCCAAGTGGGTCTGAACCGATGAAAGTGTTATTCCCTCTAGTTCGTAGGAGCCCGTGCTTGCTTGTCCAATGCGCATGGTTGCACATTTCGCCATATTTATCGGGAGCATCCATTATATAGACCACTCTGACAATTTGTTGAGATCCTCTTGCAACGTAGACGTATCACTGTCGCTCTTCAGCTCTCTCCAAATTTTTAAGTCTGTGAGTCGGTGGCACTGTGGTTAGGACTCTCGCCAACCATGCATATGGTCCGAGGTTCGATCCCCTGCCAACGCACACCCAATATCAATGGTCGGCCTCCAAATTTAGGCTACCGATCTCACATGCTGAAAATTCCATACTTGTACCGAAAATACGGCGTGGCATCAAGCTGTAATCAAAAACTAAGAAAGACATACTTTGTGGCACTCCGCTACGCACTGCTGTCCAAGCGGATAGTCTCCAGTTGATCCTAACCTTCTGCCTCCTATCTATGAGGAATTCACTGAGCCAGATTAGTAATCTGCCTTCGGTTCAGAGACTTTCCAACTTCACAAGCAGTCTTTTGAAAGGAACTTCATACTAAGGCTTTGCTGAAGTCTGTGAAGACGACGTCAACGGGTCTTCTGTTTTCCCTTGGTTTCACCCAGCTTTCCCTTGCAGTAAGGAGATCTGACAGGCATGAAGGGTTTGTCCGGAAGCCGGGCTGTGCGCTGGATAACATTTTGTTGTTTGCTAGATACACCACGATGCTTTTCTTGATGATTCTTTCCAGTCTGTTGATTAAAGTGCTGGTGAGACTGATAGGCTTGTAATTTGAAGGGCTTTGTCTTTATCCTTCTTTGTGGATGAGGGTTACTTTGGCGTCTTTCTAGTCACGTGGTAACACTCCATTTAGGAGAGATAACTTGAAGATCGAGGCCGTCTGTGTAAGCTGATACTCCCTTGGGAAGCCTTGGATAAAGATTATCAGGACCCATTGATTCCCCTGCGTCTAGTTTCATAAGGCAGTTGAGCACGATGCCTTGTTCGATGTCAATGGAATATATCCCGTGTTCCTCTGATACAGCCAAAGTCGATCCTGTAGAGAGTAGTGACTCCTGTGTGCCACTGCTTCTGCTTCTTCTTAATCTCCTTTGGTTGTGTCATCGTCAATAGTCACGTTTGGGTCACCATTGGATGTTTTATTCCTGAAGTTCATGTACGAGAAAATTTTCTTAGGTCGTGCCCTTCCATTTTGAGCCAGATGTGCTTCGAACTTCATCCTTGATCGCGGGCTTCTGCAATAGCTTTATTCCTAGCAGTGTTATGTAATTTCCTGGTCTCAGGAGACTCAAGTGTGGCAAACAGGCTCCAACATTTGAGTTTACATCTGAGTGACTTGCTAAACACTCGGTTTATCCAAGGTGGGCAAGTTTCCGACGCTTTGGGACAGACCAAGGGATAAACCTTCAGTCACTTGGGCGTGAAGCTTTTTAAACTGGTTCCATGCGGCTTCTACTTGGGACTGTGGGCTGATGTACCAGTTCACTGAGTCGGCTGCTGAGACGATCGCATTTATATCAGCTTTCCAAACGTTTGGTCTAGCTGGGGTTTCGGCTCTTGCTGCTGTTGCTGTGATCTTGAAAGTAAGCACAGCATGATCACTTCCTAAAGAGGGAAGAAGTTTTATGAGAAGACTAGGTCCAGAGTTGAGGAGGAGTGCTGTGAGTCACAGCGTGTTGACTTAATCGTATGTTGGACTAGGGCTAGCAATATACTAGACTTCAGCAGTTTATGACCAAGAAGTTGTCTGAAGATGGCTCTGTAAAGCTCGTCCAGTCAACTGTTGGGGCATTGAAGTCACCGACTTCGAAACTTTGACATTTCGAAATTCAGAAGCCTAGCTTCTCGAGCGACTTTATTGCATATCCCCTCAGTGACGCTTGTTGCTATGTTGCTATTGGTTTCAAGTGGCCTTGGTTTTGGGGGAAGATTTAACTGAAGTAATATTGTGATTTCCTAGACATAACTCAGGCTCATAGGTGAAAAAATTATAACCCTGGAATAAGGACAAGTTGTTCAGAAGGTAAGGAGGACATTATTTTTCAGTTTATTTGTATATATACTATTGTGTATCGAGCTGCGCTGAGTTCTTAGTGCAACTGTATGTAACTGCATTTACATAAAGTAAAACATTACGAATGCTCCTGTTTTTGAAATAAAAACATGATTCTTTTCATTAAGTGTAGTAATGAAGAATGGAGTTTCTTCCACGCCAGTGGTATTTAATTGAAGAATTAATCTGTGTAGGCCCTTGAAGGAATAAATTCGGCACAGAGAACTCCTGTGGAAATCGAAAGCACTTTAAGTTTACTAAATCTTACTGACTTCCTGTATAAATTTGATCTGTCAAGTGTTTATGTAAAGTCTGCTGGTGTATTCAGTAAAGTAAAAGTTGTAGTGCATAACTCCTAGACTTGTTGTAGTCATTGGTATTCCCAGGATACTACTTACTCGTTTTATGCAGCCGAAATATTCAATTCTCATTTTATTGAGGAAATACTATGGTGCCTGCAAAAGTAGTGCGTCAGTTTACGAGTTTCGTTAAGCCTACAGAATGTTTTCTATTCACTGAATACTGTTTGCGAATTATCCGAGAAAACACATTTCCGAGTGGGATGTAATACAAGGCTGAATTCTTAAACTGTCATCCTTATACCAGCTCAATTCAATCACACACATATTAATAGGATAATCTGTAATTGACTTTAGAGACTTATCAAGGGATATTCTCATCAACTTACGGTTTGCTGATGATATTGTCCACCTAGACTATGAGAAGTAACCTCTGATGCTGTAAAATATGAAAATAATACCGGTGTTTGATTATAGGTGTCCGCGTTCTATCTCATGAGTAAAGCAGTATAATATGGCGAGTGCTGTTGAGGTTACGTATAAATGTTCAGGTGGGCAGGGTTGGTCTTCAAGGTAGGGAAGCTGAATAGGTTGAGATGGCTAGAACACGTGATGGCATACAAAGCCATCGCTTTTCTCCAGGGACAATGCTAGCCAGCACATGTTAAGGTTTAAAATGTGTTTGGGTCGGTCAAGTGAAAAAGTGATATTGGTTCATAAAATTGTTGACAGTCAGCTGGAAGAACTACCGGAGATGTGACTGCAAATCTTTGGTACTGGTACAGGTGCATTCACTCTGTGTAATCTCACGTATCTATTCAACTCATGTTTTTCCTTGTCACTATTTATTCTCCCTCACATTTTCGCTCGTTAAACTTCCATTTAGTTTAATGTCTCTACCTTTGTGTGCTACGTGAAATGTGGTAAATTAAACAGGTGGACTTCTCTGCAAACTCATACTGAAAGCTAGTCAGAATGACACAGTCTGGGCATAACTAAATGCGAGACATTGATAAATGATCTCCAAAATTTCACCAAATGATAAGTGTAGTTCGTAATCTTGTTCTTTGCCAAATGAAAAATGGATACCTTTCAGTAATCTCTTCTTCCACCCGGGACTCGTCTCCTACTTTGCAACTGGATTTGTGCTTTGTCACTTTTGTGCTTAGCCTTCGGTCATTCAGCATTCGCCGTTGTTGTTGACTCAGCGCCTAGATGACTTTATTTGAATAAGGTTTCGATCGTGCAAACTTGGGTCATGGGAAGTTGATTGGTTGCATTATCATTTCTCAAATGGAATGCAACATACTGTATATTAGGGTAAATCTTCCGCCTCGCTTGCTGAAGCTGGTGTTCCTCAGGCTATTTTTATCACCCCTTTTCTTTTTTCTCTCTCGTCTTACATGACTTTTCTCTTTCTAACGAGAGCAACTTCGTCAAATACGCTGTTGATCTGACCGTCTCACTTCGTGTCATGTTACAATGTGACTTCAGCAAACGTAACTGGTTCCTGTCTGTAGTCTAAGGTACGTGGTCTTGCGTTAAATCCCTCTAAATATCAGGCAGTTAACTTTCCCCTCACTCATAAGCGTAGACTGCAAGAACTGTGTCGTTCACAAGATGTTTGTATCAAAGAGGGCACTGAAACAGAAACTAAGTCTAACAGAAAATACCTTGGAGTAAATCTATCCTCTGGTCTTTCTTGGTCATTCTATATCTTGTCGATTTCTTCAGTCTAGCTTACCATGTTATGTAGTCAAGACAGTCAGGAATCATTCAACCTCTCTTTATACAACTTGTTAACTCTTGCATTGGTCTTTAATGCTCCCCCTTATTCTTT